CATTACAAAGGGTGTAAATATTTCAAATGTCAATGTGGTTGATGTTGCTCTGTCTGATCATTTCTGTGTCTTCTTTGACCTGTCTGTTATTCCCAAACCATCGGCTGCTCCTACAGTTGTTCGAAGAAGACACATAAATGATAACAAGGTGCACTGTTCATGGAAATGATAAATTTTGAAATTGCCTCATGTTCTAATGTTGATGATGTGTTGAACTCTGTGACTTTGAGTGGTTTGAATGTTCTGGATGCCATCGCCCCCGATAAAGGTTAAAATAGTTAAAGATAGGCAAAAAGCTCTGTGGAGGAATGACGATTCAGTCAGAGCACAGAAAAGGGAGTGCCGGAAGGCTGAGCGGAAATGGCGCAAGTCAAACCTCCAGGTTCATTATGAGATTTACAGAGGAAAAATGCATATATACAACTACACTTTGACTAAAACAAGAGAGAAGTATTTTTCAGACATTATTGGTAATTGCAATAACAACTCTCGTGTCCTGTTTGAACAGTGAACAGATTAACAAACCCTCCAGCTCCACTGCCATTAGAACTAATTTCCACATCTAAATGTAATGAGTTTGCAGTTTTCTTTAATGACAAAGTTCAGGGCATCAAAAATGCCATCAATTCCACAACACAAATAACAAGCATGAAACCACAGAGACACTTAGAGCTGAGTCACTTTGCACCTGTAACTGACAAAACTGTTTTAGAGATCGTTACCAGTCTGAGTTCATCTACTTGCTGCCTGGACATGTTACCCCACTAGATTTCTAAAGTCTGTCCTCAACAGTTTACTTTCACCACTCACATAATTAACATGTCACTTCAATCTGGAACATTCCCAAACGCGTTGAAAACTGCGGTCATTAAGCCTCTCCTAAAGAAGAGCAGTCTTGATGCCACAGTACTGAACAATTTCCGACCCATCGCAAATCTGTCGTTTTTTGGCAAAGTCCTTGAAAAAGCTGTTTACCAACAGCTTACAAACTTTCTCCAAATAAACAAGTCCTTTGATGTTTTCCAGTCAGGTTTTAGAGCCCACCACAGCACTGAGACTGCTCTTATCAAGGTGACAAATGACATCCGCCTGAACACTGATGCAGGCAAAGTCTCAGTCTTGATCCTGTTAGATCTTAGTGCTGCTTTTGACACTGTCGATCATGGGATCCTCTTACAGAGACTAGAGGACTGGGTGGGCATCTCTGGTACTGTACTAAACTGGTTCAAGTCCTATCTAGAAGACAGGAAGTATTTTGTTGAAATTGGAAACTGTGTCTCAGATCACATGGCCCTGGCCTGTGGGGTGCCTCAGGGGTCAATCCGGGGCCCTTGTTGTTCAATCTCTACATGCTGCCATTAGGCCAGTTAATAAGAAGCAATAATGTGTCCTACCACAATTATGCAGATGACACTCAGATCTACGTCTCTCTGGCAGCAGGAGACTATGGACCAGTGGACTCACTTTGTCACTGCATCCAACAGATCAGTGTGTGGATGCAAAAACAACTTTCTCCAGCTAAACTCTGACAAGACTGAAGTCATAGTGTTTGGCCACAGAAACAAAGGGACAGTGTCAGCAGTCACCTCCAGTCTCTCTCTCTAAAACCTTCAAATCAGGCAAGAAATCTAGGGGTAATAATGGACTCAGACTTGAACTTTAACAGCCACATCAAAATCAATAACATCTGCAGCCTTTTACCATCTAAAAAACATAGCAAAAATCAAAGGTTTACTGTCTAAAGCAGACTTGGAGAAACTTATCCATGCGTTTGTCTCCAGTAGATTAGACTACTGTAATGGTCTGCTCACTGGTCTCTCCAAACGAGCTGTGAGACAGCTGCAGAACATCCAGAACGCTGCAGCTCGGGTCCTTACTCGAACTAGGAAGTGCGAGCACGTAAGTCCTGTGCTCAGGTCTCTGCACTGGCTTCCTGTGGCTCAGAGAATAGACTTTAAAGCAGCTCTGCTTGTGTACAAGTCTCTCCATGGCCGAGCACCAAAGTACATCTGTGACATGTTAGTGTCATATGAACCATCTCGCACTCTGAGGACCTCAGGGACCGGCCTCCTGCTGGTGCCCAGAGTCAGAACTAAACAAGGGGAGTCAGCGTTTCAGGTTCATGCAGCTAAAACCTGGAACAGTCTTCCTGAACATGTGAGACAGACTCTTCTGTGACGCTGTTTAAATCCAGGCTCAAAACATTTCTGTTTAACTGTGCATATAACTGAAAGGTTTTCATTCCGCACTCTTCTCTCCAATTTATGTCTCTCTTTTTTAATTTTAATATTCATGATTATTTATGTTTTGATTTGTTTTTATTATGATTTTAATGTATTTCTTATTCTGTAAAGCACTTTGAATTACTTTGTGTACAAATTGTGCTATACAAATAAACTTGCCTTGCCTTATGCTTTGATACAGCACCCTGTGAACAACCAGCATTTTTAGCAATGACCTTTTGTGGCTTACCCTCCATGTGGAGGGTGTCAGTGACTGTCTTCTGGACATCTGCCAGTCCGCAGCCTTCCCCATGATTGTGTAGCCTACTGACCAGACTGAGAGACCATTGAAAGGCTCGGGAAACCTTTGCAGGTGTTTTCAGTTCATTATCTAATGAAGGTGTGATACAGTGATTTCCCAATATTCAGCTTTTTCACAATATTCAAATTTTCTGAGACACAGAATTTTAGGTTTTCATTATCTGTAAATCATAATCCTAAAAATGTCAAGATGTCAACACCTGAAAAGCTTCACTCTATGTGTTTTTAGATGAACTAGTGCTGTACAAAGTGTAAATGTATTCAACTGTGGTGAACTAACACCACTTCAGCAATATTAGTGAACACCTGTTTAGATTATCTTTCATAGGATTCCATGAAACAATTGTGATCTCATAACTTATTTCAAACTCATTTGTAGTCATAATCTTTGCTGTCCCATGGTTGATCAGGTAACGATCTTGGCTTATAACAGATATGAAACCGAATCCTCAATGTCTGAAGAAAGGGCTGGTCCCGAAAAGTCACAATGTGGGGCTTTTTAAATAAAATTAAAAAAATAAATTAAAAAACGAAAAACAAAAACAAAAAAGAAATGGAGCTCCAAAGAACTGCAGTGCGTGGCTAGGATACAGTGCCAAGGCAAAAAACACAGTGAAAAAAACAACATCTTGATTTGAATGTTTTCGCTCACGTGAAATCATTCTAGGATCCCCTGTTTAAAATGGACCTGGAGAACTTCTGGTTAATATTTCTGTAATTACTAGACCTGTCCACATGAAACAAACTGGAAGAGTTCAATAGCTACTGTCAGCATTTAAAAAACAAAAGTGAAAACATTGTAATAATTTAACTCTACTTTGAGTCATAAAATTAATATGGCAGGTTTGTGAAGCTAGGGTTTGCTTAATCTGAAATAATGACAAAAAGAAATGAAATGAATGTCCTTGCATAGCATAAGGCTGCTCAGTATGAATACTCTTACCTGTGAAGAGAGAAGCTGCAAGCGCTAAAGGCTAAACACAAATCAGCAACGTCTGAACAAAGGCACCGGAAAAGACATTTAGCGCCACTGACAGCTTAAAAGTTTGACTGTTGGAAATTCAGTTGTGCATACTTTTTAAATGTCCAATGTTCAATCTTCAAACCCCCACCTGAAAGTGGAATTTACTGTATAGTAGGCCTGGGATATAGACCAGCCTACATTGGGTGGGTAGGGGGTGAGATTTCTTAAAACAAAATGTTGCTTTGGCCATTCAAAATGCCTGGTAATGATAACACAGGACCATAGAAATAACATTAGACCTACACAGTGTTTTCATGTTGCCAAAGCTCATCCTACTGAAGATACGCTATTAGGTAGCAGTGTTCTGTTTTAATACGCGGCAGACTAGCGATGATGTGCCTTCCACCGGGGTTACACTGCCTTGTTAAGTGTTGAGCAGCCCTTGCGTCTATTCTCTCGTGTTAAGATCACATGGACGGGCATTTGATTGACTCATTTGTGGTTTGGTTACTGTGGAGATGTGAGGAGGGGCTGCAAAGAGAACCTCGAGCCGGGTGGGATTGATTATGGTGTAATCGTGTGATGCATTTGTGCAATTATTTTTAGCCTGATTGCCGTGAAGGGCTTGTTAATAGGCTACATTGTAGAGTAGGTTACGTAGCCTGTGTGTGTGTGTTGAAATGGCCGTGTACAATAGAAATCAAACAGGAGAAGAAGTGCGGGGGTGGGAGGGGGCTGCTAGGCTCCAGAGGCTCTTCATTTTAGCGCAGGTGTCCTTGGTTTGTGTGACACCTCAACTGCGCGACCAAACTGTAAGCTGCCTAGGACCGCCGACTGCTCTGGATGATAAAATAATAAATGCCTGAACTATCTTCTAATCCGAGGGCGAGATATGCTTGGATGAAAGACCCCCGCTGGGTGAAGACACGTAGCGTATGCTGCCAGAGCCGCGAACGCTCGCTGCCATTGACTGGAGCGCAGTGAAGGGAGACAAGTGAGCATCTCCGTGCAAAAGCAAAAGCGTCGCCTCACTGGCCATTTGAAGGTACAATGGTTTATATCGTCGTTGAAGATGACTGGACAAGCGAGCGATTTTCACAGAAAACAGACAAGATATTTTGTCATCAAATTGCTCTTTTCCAGCGTATTTTGATCACAAAATGTGGAGAAGGGCCCGTGTCGCTGGGAGAACAGCAATAACCATTTATCACAAAACCATCGAACCACTGAGGATAAAAATATTTCCAGCTCGTGGCACAGTCTTGGATCACTTCTCTATCTTTTGTCAGGTCAGGTGAAATTATGGAGGGCGTGTTGGGGACAAATTGGTATAGCCGCACCAAATTGCCAGACTATTGACTTAATGATCCACTGTAGGTTATTTAACAGTCCTATACAGGAAAACAAGGACAATTGTTACTGTACAGCATATTGTATACTAAACGTGTTAATAATAATCCCTTTAAGATGCATTTGAACAGGCTGTTGTAAAAATGGGCAACAACCAGACTGATGTTCCCTGGTTGCACACTTTGAGCAGCTCCAGTGAAGGTGCAGTTCTTTGGTCCTCAACTATCAATAGTATGGTAAAGATGGTATGCATAATGCTGATTGTATGTGTATCCCTCTTTGGGAATGTTGTGGTCCTTTTGGTTTTTCAAAGAAAACCTCAGCTTCTTCATGTGGCAAACCGCTTTGTTCTCAACCTGCTCCTGGCTGACCTGCTCCAGACCATATTGGTCATGCCCTTTGCCATCGCAGCCACTGTCCCAGGTGTGTGGCCCCTGCACTCTCGACTGTGCCAGGCTTTGGTGGTCCTCCAGCATCTGTTTGCTTTTGCAGGTGTCAACACTATTATCGTGGTCTCTGTGGACCGCTATCTGGCCATTATCCACCCCTTGTCCTACCCCACACGTATGACCCCAAATCTGGGCACAAATCTCATCATCTGTACATGGGTTCTTAGCTTCCTTCAGAGCACCCCTCCTCTGTATGGCTGGGGTACTATTGACTTTGACCACCGTCTCCATATGTGTTCAGTGCTGTGGTCAGCTAGCCCCTCCTATGCTGTGCTTGTATTCATCTTGTCTTTCTGGCTGCCTATGTTCATCATGCTTGGATGCTACTGGATGGTTTTCAGAGCAGCTCGAAGGCAGAATGCACTGGTACATCCCATACAGTCACAGTCCCTCTCTCAGCCCTGCCCCTCAGACATTCCACACCAGCCCACAGCACAGAGCCAGACCCTGTCCCAACTGGCCTGTTCACCCGATGGAGCTCCAACATCCAGGGCATACCCTGTGCGTGTACGTCACAGACGCTTCTATTACCACTGCAAAGCAGCGCGAGTGGTTTTTGTCATCATGGCTTCATATGTTCTCAGCATGGGGCCATATAGTATTATCAACACCATATCTATGAGCTCACAAGCAGCTGTGCCCCAGTGGATGTGCTCATTGGCCTTGGTGCTGTTTTTCTTGCAGTGTTGTCTCCACCCATACATTTATGGTTACATGCATCGTAGTGTGAGAAAAGAGTTCCTGGCATTGCTCTGTGGACTCTTCTGTAAACAGGGCCGTCCCAGACAGAGTTCAGCAATGGAGAGCTGCTTCACCACAGAGGGGCGATCTGCAGCCAATCCTCACCTGCCCAGCCTGGCAGCACGCATCTTTCCCATGCGCACCTGGGAGGAATGCACCACATCCTCCTCTCCTACTTTTGAGAGGAAGTCCAGAGATAGTCGCAAAGAGACCACCTCAACAAGTATTAGCTCTGAGAAAGAGATAATGGTGCCCAGCAAGCAAAGCACAGACTGATTCATGTACACCAGACAGAAGCTTTTGAACTGAAGGTCTGAAGCTGTTAGTACAGGAAATACACTTGTAGTTGTCAGTATATGCCGGTTCATCTATGTTTTGTTTTGTAAAACATCTTGAACATTAAGTATGCAAGTCTGGTATGGAAAAAATGTGGACCCCTTACACTGTTAAGAACAAAATAGAATACAGAAAAAGACAACCACAAAGCACAGTAATGTTCTGTTACCTCACTGCCCCACAATGATCAGCATATTCACAAAAGGCACACTGCACTGTTAGTGAATATATTCATGAAAAAACTCAGGGTCAACTTTTGTCAGTATTAAAAACGTCATAAAACATACATGTTTATAAGTACCACAGCGCCTTCAGAAAAAAATTACACGCAACACCACTCAACACAGCTAGGCCTATGTGACATGAATATAGATCATTGTATTGGGTTTGCTGCCTTAGGTGTCTGTCTTTTTCACCTCATAAGTAATCTTTAAATAGCATAAAGTTACTGTTATAACTTATAACTTTGGGCCAAAATATTTGTTGGACTTTTTTACAAAATTATATGGTATTGCTTTGTATGTTTTCCACTGTACGGCACAACAATGCACTATGGGGTTTCTTGCATATTACCATTTTAGCAGACAATCAAGATTTGTGTAAATGTATGTATAAAAGATGTATTGTCTTGTACCACTCTATATACCAATGCAGGGTATAGACAGATGTGCCAATAGAATTGTTTTAAGATTTAACTTTAAATAATGTTATTTGGTTAATAAAATTGACAAGAATCTGTTGTTCAGTGTCTGAATTGATCTTTACATCACACGACGTTGCTTCTGTGTTGCAACCAAAGTGATAGGGGTGATTCGCAGAATTTACTAGTGCAAAGAAATAGTAAGTCATGTTTAATTCGATTTTTTTATTTGTAAAAAGACCTCCAGACTGCCTGAGGCAAAAGGCAGCAGTGTTGTATTTACAGTTCCATAAATGGCTTATAGGGGGATAGGAGATGAGCATGTGTCAGCTGATAAATGTATAAATAAATGTGTGGGCTGCGTGTGAACCAGTGAGGCATACACTTGGAGCTTATCCGAATATCGTATTTTCACAAGTTCATGATAAAGATGTGCTTTTGAATCACAGTTGATATGATAGTTACCATTAAATACAAGACAATGGACATGTAGTATAATGAAGCCATAGTTTATATAATTTTGAACTACAATACACCCTAACATTTCAGAAATCTTATCCAACCAACCTTAAAATATCCTACATATGCTGATGCAATAGTAACAATCTTTAAGCATTCTCACTGTTGCATTTTCTATACAATATATTTACACACTTCAAATTATTAACCATAAAGTAGAGGTCATGAAAAAAAGAACAGTTAGCTGTAAAAGGAGAAGGAGAAGCAAAATACATAACAATTTTAACAAAACCAATAACACCTTTCTCTTAGACCCACTGACCGAAAATGTTCATATAGTAAACTAGCTGGAATACACATTGCTGTTCAAGGCAATACTCTTATTATTTAATTATTGGTCAACTGAACAAAATGTAAAAAAAAAAAAAGAAAAGAAAAAGAAAAAATAGCAACATATGTTTAAAGCATAAAAAGGACGGGCGCTGCTTTCATGGTCTTTTACTGATACGTGTTTTTTCCAGTTCAGGCCCTGGTCAGACCATCCACTTGCAGACAGCGCTCTAGAGAATGGCTCTTTGATTAATTCCACTTGGCTTCTCAGTCAACCTTAACCACACTGTAGATCTTATTGACAAACCAGAAGCAGGCAAAAAATCCAATGGTACCTGGCCAGTAAAAACCAAGAAATATTACTCATGACATGACAATAACGGGTAAAACATGCAATGATACATCTAAAATACAATAAAATATGTATTTGTATTTTAGTCAACATATAATTCGTTTCAGTTTAGAGTAAAAGTTAATTGTTTTATTTAGGGTCATTTTAATGCTTAAATGTGCTCAAAATGAACTACAATTCCATCTCAGGCATTCAGTTAAGAATATCCTGGATCTGTTTATCGGGATAAAAAGGGCTTAGCTTCCAGCTCTCTGGGGCCATGAAGCGAATTAACAAGTGATCAAAGTTGGGATGAGATCAGAGAAATAAGTAATAAGGAAACCAGTAATCTCTTGCTCAACTAAGTAGATTATTTCTGAAGTATCAAGACAACCTAGGCAGCATAGTAACTCCATAGGGTACCTATCTGATTGAGTAACTAAAATCCTTAAATCTTACGCTAAAATTGCCCAAACAATTTCTGGTTGTTCCACTTATCAATTGTTAACTTAAGGTGTAGGGTGTACTAAATAGTAATTTCTGCATCCTGGTTCTATCATTACAGACTGCTGTAAAGTCAATAACCGTTTCACAGATGTTTAAATAGGAACAATAAACAAATAATAATATACTTTTATAAGCATGAGGAGTGAAAGAATTTTTTATGAAGCATACGACCTATGGTAATAATAAATAAAATTTCTTACCAGTGAAAAGGAAGAAGATCAGTACCATTATCATCGTGTAACCAAAGTACAGAAAAGTGCTGGCTGCACCAATTATTTGCAGTTTTGAGAAGAAATAATGCACAGCATAAATAAACAAATAGACAGCTGTGAAGCCACTAGTCAGGAATGATCGCCACCACCAGTGGTAGTCCTAAACAGAAAAACAGATATATGTAATAAATGCTCCAAATAAATAGTAAAAACAGTGAATCTATATGTAGAACTCACCTCTGCACAAAGGTGGAAATAGCAAAGCAGGATAGTGGCCTCAGAGCAGGTGATTAGAAGAATAATAAAGACCAGGAAAAGGAAGCCAAACATGTAGTACATCTGATGAGACCTAAAAGAGGAAGTCATAATAAAAGTCAACACTGTGCATAAGCTCGAACACATAACATACGTGAATTTATTGATTTACCAAATGCTGTTGAGGATGAAAAAAAGCTGGATAAAGATACAGCCAAAGGGCAGGATACCCCCCATCACTATGCCAGGAATAGGTTTAGTAAAGAATGACTGCTCTGGAATCTGACGAGGAATCTGGTTTGTACGCACTGGTTGCTCAATTGCCTGTAAGAGCAATTATATTTAATCACATAGCACATGCTAAGATTATAAGGATCAAAGGTAAGATGTATGCAAAACAGACCGGTTTCTTGAATCCAAAGTAGGCCCCAATGAATGTAAGGGGCACAGAAATTCCAAACCACATTGCCAAAATGGCAACAAGCGTGCCAAAGGGGATTGCAGCAGAGGATCCCTCAACCCAGAGAATAAGATTCATCAGGAAGAAGTCTGCAAATACAATGCTGAAAGAAAAAGATAATAAATCAAAATTAAATGTTGCAATATAAACTTCATAAATCAATTATAGTTTATATTTTAGTTTTATTAGTATAAACTTATGCTGAAGTAGTCATTGTTACTCTTTTAACATATTGCAGAAGACAAACAGACAACCCAGTATGCATGTAAACCCATCAAAAGAGCTTATTGTAAAGCTGCTCTTCTATTTGCTTAAGCACATGCTGTATTTGCTATTTGGAGGTGTGTGTGTGTTATGCATTTTGGGAGGGGTTGGAGGTGTCATTCTGTAAAGCGAGCCCTAGTGTCTTGTTTGAGGCAACCTAGCACAGCACAGCTGCAAGAATGCTTTCGTCAAGAAGGATGTGTGCACTATGGCACAATTGTTAGACAAAAGAGAACGCAAACTTGGGTGAAAATAAGACATCAGAAACAGACAAGAACAACATTTTTTGTTCTCATGATAAACAGCTTCAAAAAACATTGTAACTTCCAGTGCAGAACACTTCTAACCCACCTAATCCAACATGCTACATGATGAAATGTTACAACACAGGAGCAGAAATAAAAGAACTGAAGAATAAACTGGAAGCAATGCCACTGTTCACTGTAGCTTTATCCTGTTCTCACAGAAAGCATCTTGAAAGTGCTAAACATATTTTTGTGAATTACCAACATCTCATCATTTCAAAATATTTGCTGTGTTTGGGTGACGCCAGTGGCGCCTGCAGGGGTATGCCTGTACACACTGTGCGTACCTTCAATGTCCTGACTGAATCTGAATGGATGTCCCAAGTTACGTATGGAGGAGCGCAACAGTGATTATTGACCAAACTGTTCATGTCTTTTCTGAGGGCAGGGTTGTAAAACTATAAGGCACTGGGTCAGTGTGTATCCTGCAGGTGCCCGACGCCAGTTGCTGATGTAGCACACCTCTGAACCAGCTAACACCCTTATTAACTGCCACCTGATCCCAAAAGCTTATGGAAATGTGCCTAGTTCAGTTGTTCAGTTAATTAAACAAGCTACATCAACTAACCCTGGGCACAGGAGGGCAGTCAGCAGGACATTGGTCTTCCACTTTTCCCCTCCAAAAGCTATGAAACAAAAAGGACAGATTTGAGATTCTGTGTCTTTACCACCTGTTTAGCACTGTAATTTTATTTTTAGAAAAAAAATCTTACTTTTGTAGAGGCGAGCAGATACATAGCCAGCAGGAGTACCAAGCAGAACCCACAGGACAACTGCACACGTCATAAGAGCTCCTCGATTGGCTGGTGACAGGAATCCAAGACAAGCTAGGACTAAAGAGAAGCATTACTTACACATAAATTGAGACTTAAACCATGACATTAAATTACCTAAGATAGCAAATAATTAAAAGACCCTAATATGCATTATTCAGGAAACCCCTAGGCATTCAACATTAGTTAATTAACTTAAAATATCAAATTTTACAATTTTCACAGGAATACTCAAGCATGTATACCACTCATACTAGCCTTAGAACAATACATGAACAGCTGTAGAGATGAAGAAAGAAAAAATGTCAGTTTTTCCTTAACAACCCAGAGGTCTGGAGAAGGTTTTACAAAGCTGAAGGAATATGATGCTAACACGCGAAACCCACGAGCACAGCATAACATGTTTAAAAGATCAGCTTGTGCCTTTACTTAAAAGTCAATTTATTCAGGGGTAAAGGTTAGTGTGAGTTAACCATAAAGTTCTTACAAAGTGTGATGAAGGTCATGATGAAGATCTGGGTGCCTTGTCCTAAGAAGACAGACAGAAGCATGCCTTTCCTTGGTGGCCTGAACACATCTCCATGAACCTGCTTCCATCCAGACTCCTCTTGTGCATCCTCCTGAAATGGAGAATGGGAAAAGGTTAGACACCATTTTACCTCTTAACTCCTTTAATTAAAAAAAAAAAAAAAAAAAAAAAAAAAAAGAATCATTATAAAAGTTAGAGCTTAACCAGCCACCAAACAGTATCCTGAAAGTGTGACTTGTACAGCAAAGATGAAAAGGTCTAAAAGTTGTAAAATTTGATGGGAGGATTGTTTTATGATTCCAATTGAGCAATGTTGCTGGGTTCATGTTTGATTAACATGTGTCCGCACCACATTTTACAATATGTTCCACAGTGTTTGCTTCAATCAGACACCCAGTCTATAGAAGTACATAGCTCTTTAGGACAGGCTTACATAGGTAAATGATGATTTTTCCTTCGAGGAGGGAAGCTTTATCAAGTCTGCCTGTAAAATGTAATACAATATGATATTTACAGTATGTACCAAAGTTACAGAAGTTGCAATATTTGAGTCCTTCTGTAAATATTAATTTGCTTTAAAGGACAGAAATTTGTTGTGGCCAGAACAAAGGGCAAATACTTTGTGTGCAGCTCATATATAAACCAAAGGATGCTTTTGCAAATAATACTATAACAAAATCAGTACTTTAAAAGTGTATATAGCTATCTTTTCACCTGCAGAGTACATTACCTGGTCAACTTGGTTGTATCTAGCAATGTCTTTGTGTAAGGTTCTCAGCATAATCATGGCAACCATGCCAGACAGGAAAAGGACAATCACAAGCGAGTTCATGATGCTAAAAAATAACACAATAAAATGAGGATGATAAATTTTATGAGAAGTTACATTTTAGTCATCACTATTTCAGTTTTTAAAATACTGCCATACCTAAACCACTGGATATTGGTGTGAGGCATGGAAACAAGGATATAATCCCATCTTGAAGCCCACTTAATGGAATTGTTCTCCTGCAAATGATTAAAAGCAAAAACATCAGTTTACTTCAGTACAATCACACTTGCCTTTACCTTTGTATACGTACTTCAAAAGTGACAGAGTAAGTATAAACTACAGAGACATCATTTTCAAACTCTCCCGGGATCTCCATCGGGGTGCCTGCATCACAGTTCACCGATTTTTCATCTTTGTGATTTATACTGTAAGACACAACCCACATTAGACAGAGCATTGAAAACTAGCACAGTAACATTTCAGTGTACTATATATATTTTGTTTTACTCTATTTGGCCAGTTTATAGAGTCAAAAAGCTTAAGTTAACCTTTTTGGCTCCAGGGTTGCAGCAACCAGTCGTGCTCCTCGCCATCCTTCAGATGCTCCACTGTGGTAAGTAATTTTAATTTCCACATGGTTGAAAACATAAAACGTATTCTTTTTATTGAACTCAGCCTGTAAAATAAATAACAAATGAATGCAAGTTTTTCATATGATGTAGTTCCTTCTGTACATATGTCACACATACTCACATTGATAACACAGGCATCTTTTGCTCTACCATCTAAAGTAACAAGACAGCCAATAGGGAAACCTGGATTGCAATACTTCTGCCCATCTTCCACATCGTAGCACCATGTCACGGGCATATTGTCAATGATCCTGAAAATGAAAATAAGATAACCAGTTTGTATTGTTGTCTGACAGGTTAGTCCAGTTATTCATAACTTTGGCTAGGATTACCAGTGGTGCTGATAGTTTAGCTGCATCCCCATTTTAAGAAAATCTAATCGTGTTGCATCATCTTGGCTGCCTTTCTTGTAATTCTTTGTACATACAGGTAGGCATTTTACATCATGCTTGAAAGTGAACTGCAAAAATGAGAATATGCTTAGTACATTAATGTTGTAATATTTACTATTATATGAACAATCACAATATCATAATGCCAATAATTAACTAAACGTTAAATGAACTGGTTGAACTAGTTGGTCTAAACAATATGAAACAAAATAAAAATATGAAGCACGCACTTTGTAAGGGGACGACTCAATCCTTTCACCAAACAAAACCTGTCCAAGGTTCTCTGATGGTCTCGTTTCCACTTGATCTTTGCAAAAGTCAAACCTATAATAAAATGTTTTAAATATTAGTCACACACACATTGACAACGCAATGATGGAACGAGCGGGGCTACTTACATGTCATATTCATAAGGCAGAACTGACTCTACAGAGTCCAACCGATTGACGTACAATTGGATTTTTGTCTGTAGAATAAAAATGGACGATAATCAAATATAAAATTTTGCTTCTTTATTTCTCGACACAAAGACAATGAGTTTGGCATCAGTCACGAAAGCAACAGGTTATACTGCTTATGTTATAAATCATTTTAACAAGTAAGGAGGGTCTCAATACCAGACTTGTTTTGATATCAAGTCGCGGCCTATACAGCGTTAGCAAGTAACCGACATTCAAACTGATCAATGTGACACTAATAAATGCGGTTTCTTGCAACACTGCGGCCTCTCATTGTGAATATATGTCATTAAACATACCGGACAGTCCTCGGCACCTTTTCCTTCTTCGCAGAAACTCACTGGAGCTAAACCCGGAAGATAAAAACCTGAGCATGAATAGCAGGAGACGAGCGAGTAAACCAGCACGAAACTAAGATGTATCCGCAGCTTCATTTTTGCGGACACGGTGCAATAAGCTCAACTGTAAATAAACTGTGGCCTCGTTTAGAGAGGAGAATAAATGGCAATCTAAGATTTTATCTCAAAGACACGGATGAAAACCTATCGGCCTGCCTGGCCCAACTATGGTCGGTGTGACGTGACGTACAGACAGCAGTTTTGTAAAGCGGAAATAGAAAACAGAAAATAGTGACGACGCCTTTCAAAATAATAATAATTATAATATACAGTGTGCTGTAATTTGGAATGCATGAAATGTGTTGCAATACAAAACAATACATTTTATAGTATCAATTGGTTGTTTTGAAATACACACAAGAAGGATGAACATATTTTATCTGCGACAACAAATTAATGTCATGAAGTCATACATGCATGAAGTACAGTGTTTTAATGCTAAAGAGCCTTGATATCCGTTTAATAACACTGACGTTGCTGTTCTTCATGGATCTCTTCCATTTTACGGTTTGCGTGCAAATTTCTCTCCGTTAATGTTTGGACTTTTCCTTTACATCAAAAATATAATTCAGTTTTGAGTGATACAATAACATTTTAAAATATGAAATACTGAAAATAAGAATTTCAGAGTTCACATTGTTTACACAGCAGGTGGCGCGCTGTAGTAACTAGGCCACTGACTGCACGTCCTCCGGGTGCAGAGAAGAAGAGCGTCGTTGTTCATTTTGCAGTAGCGGCATCGCCAACGTTTTATTCAAAGCTACGAAAGCTGCGCTTCTCTGCCTGCTTCGTAAGTGTTATTTCACGTGTTGTGTCTCGTTGTGTAACTTTTTATGCCGCTGAGTCTTCTGGCCGTTATAACTTTGACTCGTAGTTTGCTGGAGGACACGATCTGACTAACTGCGTGCACATTCATCGCCATTTTGCACCTTCTCATTCGGATAGCATTCGGCAAGGTAATCTCCATTATGGCTGAATGGGCTTTGTTTCAAGATAGAAAACGCACAGAATCAGCCCATTATGTGTGGTGCATTAACATTTGTTTTGATATTTGCAGAATGGCAGAAGCTGACCGTCCCGGCAAATTATTTATTGGTGGGTTGAACACCGAGACCACCGAGGAGGCCCTGGAACAGTACTTCAGCAAGTATGGAAGGATTGTCGAAGGTACAAACCCCGTTAAATGTTTCTCCCAAATTTTTTCGTGAATTCACTTCCAGTGTATTAACGCATTCTTCAATTTAGTTCTTTTGATGAAAGACCGCGAAACCAACAAATCACGAGGTTTTGCATTTGTTACGTTTGAAAGACCAGCTGATGCAGAGGATGCTGCCTGTGAAATGAATGGGAAGGTACGCTCTCCTTATTGAACGTATTCAGCTTTTATCTTTTAAACCATTGACAACAACGTTTTTTATAACCGCACTCTCTCATTTCAGTCCCTTGATGGAAAGAATATTAAAGTAGAACAAGCTACAAAGCCCCAGTTTGAGAGCTCTGGAAGAAGGGGGCCGCCTATGCACCGCTCTCGTGGTGCACCCAGAGGCGGCCGTGGGTCCAGGGGAGGAATGAGGGGTCCGCCATCTAGAGGTGATTATTAGCTGTGAGGGAAAGTGAAAACAGTGAGTTTGTTCATATCTGGGTACTATACCGAAGAACTATAACAGATGGAAGAAACTCAAGTAGCCTTAAATGCAGCACTTGCAAAAAAATATATATATTTGGTAATTTCCACAAATTTAAGCATTTGTATGCTGTGGTGGTTAAAAAAAAATCTGATAAAATTGAAGCTTCTATTTAAGCACATAATGGCTGCAGGTGTCTACTTGGTTATAGATGGCCAATTATTGATTTTATATATTTTACATATTTTTGTCTTTTTTTTTTTAAGACTATTATGATTCGGGTGACAGTGAGCCCTATTTCAAAGGGATGTCTTCTCGCGGCCCTCCAATGAAGAGAGGACCTCCGGTTCGAAATGGAGGGCCTCCACCCAAACGATCTGCCCCCTCTGGTCCAATTAGCAGACGTAAGTGTGCTTAAAAAAATCTTTATTTCCAAATTAATTAAATTATATCTTTTGTTTTTATTTCAGCCCCAATGTCGAGAGGTAGAGATTCTTATGGACCTCCACCTCGTAGAGACTCGATGATGTCCCGGAGGGACGATTACCCTTCTCCACGAGATGATCATTACAGCTCTAAGGACAGGTATATTTGCTTGTTAGATGCTTTAAAAGAAAAAAAAATCAAACAGGACACTTATTCCAAAATATTTTTAGCTACTCAAGTAGGGACTACAACTCAAGAGATTCAAGGGATTATGGCCCCCCTCCTAGAGACTACTCTTACCGTGAATATTCTAGTTCAAGAGACGATTATGGTTCGATGTCCCGCGGGTACAGGTATGTTTGTAATGTGTGTTTGTTTTTTATTTTTACAGCTCGTCTGGTTATACTAATTTAATATTTCTTTATTCATTTAAGTGACCGTGATGGCTATGGTGGAGGAAGAGAACCTCGTTACATGGAACGTAGTGGTGGGTCCTACAGGGATTCATACGATGGTTACGGTAAGATGGGATCATATGGGTGTAATGGGATAGTAATTTAGAGGGTTGATTATGGCAAAAGTGGTCAAATCAGTCACAGCAGCAAACCTCAAAACCTCAAGTCACAAGAAACCAGTTCTCATCTCCACTGAGGAAAATGTGATTTAAATGCCAGTGGACACCTTCAGTGTTGCGTTTATTCAAATGCAGTTGAATATTAAAGAGGCGTGTACAAATTGCTTTAGTATTGGCATTGCATCAAACAATTGCAAACTTGTCTCCGACAAAACCTGTCATGCAATAAGTTTTGAAACTACAAGCACAAATATCAAAATTATACTATCCGTCAAAGTAAAGCTCTCGGGAAAACAACTGTACCCCAAGTACATCATTCCAAAAAAATGTCAACACTGAATACATCGGTTCACCTCCAACGTTCACTTGGACCTTCCAATGGAAAATGGCTTCTCAGAGCAATGGCATGCTGAATGGAATGGGTAAAACGGCTCATTAGTTAATTTGACTCGGTACTAAAATATTTCGTAAAAAAAAAAAAATGTACCATTGTGGTACAGCGGTTGGTGTCCTCCTCGCCTTTTGGCAAGGTCCTGGGTTTGATTCTCAGGCCCCAACCCAGACATGGTGAGGCCTTTCCGTATGGAGTTTGCATGTTCTCTCCGTGTCAGTGTATGTTTCCTCCAGGTCTACCACTAAAACATGTATAATTGTCCCCTCTGGGGCCCGGACTCCCCTGTAGAAGGGATTCTGAATCCCAGGGGGACTTCCCTGGTTTCCCTGCTTAAATAAAGATAAAAAAAAAAAACAATAATAATAATGTATACAAATACGTCTGGGAAAAACGATGCAAAAAAAAAAAAAATGTTTACGTTGAACCTTGCCAATTACCTGAACCATTGACCCTGCAGGTAACTCTCGCAGTGCCCCACCCTCAAGGGGCCCCCCACCATCCTATGGTGGAAGTGGTGGAAGCAGTCGTTATGATGACTATGGCAGCAGTTCCAGGGACGGATATGGGAGCCGTGACAGTTACCCCAGCAGTCGGAATGACTCGTACGCACCAAGCCGTGAGCGTATGGGCAGACAGGACAGGGGCCCAGCCCCACCTGTCAACACAGGCTATCGCAATTCGTACAGCAGCTCAAGTCGTGGCCGTGGCAACCAATCTGATGGAGGAATGGGCCGCAGCAGATACTAACATGGACAAAGCAAAAAAAAAAAAAAAAAAATGCGAAAATGTTTCGAAAAATATGACAAGGCAACATATTGTAGTCGAGTCAGTGGATTTGAATCTTAGTTTTGAAATGTATCTTGACTTTCCAAGTTTTTTATGTGTCTTTTAATTGGTATTTTTTTCTTGCAAATGTAATAGTACCGTCCCCAAGTACATGTTTTTTGTAATATCAGTGCTGTTGAAATCTGCAGTGCCCTTGACGTCTGGCTTTCCTATTCTAATAAAGCTATTAGTTGTAACATGACGACTGCAGCTGCTTGTCAATTTAAAGTCATAAAATGGAAAATTTATGTAGTAAAGGTTCTTTTTAATTTTTAACCTTAATACTGGCCAAGTATCAAATGTTCTCCAAGATAAAGTGTTCATGTCCAAATGCTCCTCTGAATGGACTCATCAACCTTGTGCCTGAGGGCAAGCAGCGACAAACCCAAAGGCAACAACCAAATGCAAGCCTTTTCAACTCAACTGATAAGTCAACAGCTGGTAAGCAAAGCAACCCTTTGTTTCTGATCATACATTTCTCATTGTCCTGTATACCAATGCCTAATATTCAAAAGAACATTTGCCCATGGACCAAAGGAGTTCCTATGAAGGTCAGTCTAAAACTATGATGCTCTGTTTAAATGCAACTAAGTGCAACCACTCGTCAACAATGTTCTTCAAACTGCAAATTAGAGGGAGATTCTTTTTGTCTCTTTCAACTTGTAAGCAGTGTTTGTTATAGTAAGACCCCCTTAAGTGGAACAATCAACAAACGTGCAAGTTCTAACACTGAAGATCACTGGAAGAACCTCCATGCAAAGTGCCAAACTTAAAACTGAAGATAAATTGGGTCAAACTCAGGATTTCAAAATGTTAGCATTTTAAATTGAATGCAGTTTTGAACAAATTTTAACATTTGTTCTCATTGCAGGATGAGCGCCTACTAGACAATGATGCCTAGTAGTAGAAATCTGAAGGAAATAAAACTTCAAAAATGTTTGAGCAGTAATGGTGCATCAACACAGCAGTCTAGGTAAGTTCAAGTAATTGTTGCTTGTTTGTAAGTGCAGTATTCTAAAATCACATTGTTTCCTCTTTTTTTAGATGTCACCCAGGTGGTTTGACATGGAGATGAAGTGTATTTGTGGTTTCAGTTATTGTTGTCCATTGGTGTTTTCAATAAACATAATTATCAAGTGGATTTTTTTTTATTACTACTCACTAGTAATTAATGTACAATTGCATATGTAAAACGTAAATTAATAACTTGCGTCGAAACTTTAAAGTCTACATATCCTGGAGGCAGGTATTGTGGAGGTATCTCGACTGCCAGTAGGGGTGATCATAGCAGTGTGTTCCGCGTCACACGTACCCCGACGGTTTTTTTTTTTTTTTTGGTTTTTTTCCCTCGATCTTGAAGCAGAAGTGCGGATGTGAACTAACTGCTGCAAAACATGTAGCCTGTACTTCACTAAAAATGAATTCAGAGGAGCAGGCGGTTACGTGGTTAATATCATTAGGAGTTCTGAGCTCTCCTAAAAAGAGCATAGCAGACCCAGAGGACTTTCTGAAAACATCGCTGAAGGATGGCGTTGTCCTTTGCAGGCTCACCGAGCGCCTCATACCTGGCTTTACGCCAAAGGTGAGTTGATAAAAGTTCACTAGACATGCATAGTTTAGGACAGTCAGGGTAGCACGGAAGGGAGGGGTTAGATGTAAAACATGAGTAGGTTAGGGACAACAAATTGCTTAACGCAGGAGGCCTGGTGTAAGTTCACGCAAATGCGCGTTTGTAAAAGGAAAACATATTTTAAAAATGGACAAATCGACAAATGAAATGTTGTTGGTAGGTACGGTATCGAAGTGATATAGTCCTGCTTCCTGTGAAGCTATGATTCCGCATTCTTGATACAGTGAATGTGGCCCATGGTTTGGCCAGTCGACGGGACATTTCACTACGTACGGTGTCCTCTAGTGTCTATAGTTACAGCTGTGTAATTGCGGCTGCTTGTGCATACAGGTTAGACATCATCTGCGCCAAAAAGTTGCTTAGCTGTTTAGATAAGCATGTTGATAACGCTGAACAGTTGCAAAGACTGATCGTCACTTCCTCTTGAAAACCTTCCTCTGTCCGATGCCCTGATCTGTCAAGGCGGCGTCAGCACGGAGCCATAGAATAGACTGTATATGCACGGAGCACAGCACAAGCTCTCACTGTCTATGGAAGGGCTATAGCCTATTTATTTATTTTATAAGCATCAAAGATTAGAATCACCACATATTACTGGGTAGAGGAAGATATTATAAACATGACGGGTGGGCCTGCAAATATTAAAATATTAACACCTCAAAACTGTTGACCTCGTAGTCTTATTTTGAAAGCACCTTAGCGGATCATCTGAACACATTGAATGTGACTTCTTGTAGTTTTAGTAAATGTTTGCATGAAGGAGAAACGAAAAGAATCTACATTTATTTAGTAGAATTGCGGATAGGACGCTAATGGAAACTACATCGTATCTTGAGAGTTTATTCTTAATGTGAAATTGACATGGCTGTTTGATCCGTGTCAGTATTTGACACAGATCACAAAACTTAGCCTTTGCAATGTCTAATATTTTGTGTTTACTCAGTATTGCCAGGATCCAAGAACTGAAGCTGAGTGTCTGGGCAACATTCGTGAGTTTTTAAAGGGATGCTCGTCCTTAAAAGTGGAGGTAGGCCTTAGTTTATTTGGTTTTTGCTACATGCTTTGGCGTGGTCGCTCTCTAGTTGCTTTTTAGCCCTGTGCAGTCAGAGTGGTATTAACACACTGCTCAGCTGTGTTGTTCAGCTGCTTATCATGGTGGCACAGTTTCGCACAGACTAACCGCATGCATAAAGTCAGTGTTTCTTAAATGTTAACGCACAGATAAAGAACTCTTTTCAAGTGGTCACTGCTTTAAACTCACTACTTCCTCATTTACATTTGTTGACTTGACTAATCTTGTTGATGATATTGTTAAATAAATAATAAGAATAGCACGTGATTATTATTTTTTTATGTTGTGAACCTGCACTCTCTCTGCCACACTGGACAGTGTGCTTGTCTTCGTGGCTTCATAAATTGACTAACATTTTGTGGTTGGTGGTTTCTGTAAATGGCCAATTGGTAAAGTGTTTCTACTCTAAAGTGACTCTCAACTGATGTTCAGCAGGCTTATTATGCCAGGGACTCAGGGAGGTCTTCATTTGCTTCTACTGTATACAAAAACAGCTCTGGTCACTGGCTTTTTAGAAGAGAACCACCCTCCAATGTCATCTATGATATGGGGCCACATTGGTCTGTCTTGTTGGTCGGCAGTCTTTTACAGTTTGAACTTTTTCCTTGCCCTCACAGGCAGCTGTGTCCTGTGACTGCACAATGAGCAGTCATACCATTTTCACTTCTGCCATCAGACTCTGAAAGGGGAAACACTTATAAATTTGCTATTAATACAAATTGACACACAAAATCTAATGGACCATGTGAATTGATGGCAGGTTTTGACTGAACACAAAGTCACAATCCAATGGTTAATGTAATGTGTTGTATTTTGTAGTCAATATGTATAAATTGACTGCAGCATTGTGGTCATACCCAATTAAACTCTAAATGAGGTCATACTTTACTACTGAGGATGGTGGTACTACTCCACCTCTATATTTAAAATGTTTTATTTAAAATGTGAAACCTTATCCATGGAAAGAAATGAGATAGCTGTCTGAGACTAAGTCGACAAGCGGTTTGACAGTGTGTGTGAACATTGTGAGTTAACAGTAAATTCACAATGCAGCACAGGCTAAACAAAATAAGTACAACAATTAACAAATCACTTTATTTTTTCCCTATTTCTCACCATAGCATTACTGTTAGCATTGGGACTGAGGTTTATTGTTTTCTCAAAACATCACTTGTTTTTCAGGGCTTTGACCCAGAGTGGTTGTACTCTGGTGAAAACTTTAGCAAGGTGTTGACTACATTATTAGCAGTCAACTTTGCCACACAAGGTAAGACATTTTCATCTTCAATAAAAAATATATGAAATACTAGGTAATCATATAAATGTCATATAAGTGTCATTGGCCATAACTGAAGCATGGGATCATTCTGTCTTTACGCTGTCAAATGTTTTGGTCATGTGAGAATGTATATTGCCATCTCATTCATCTTTTTTTCATGTTTACTGCTTTCTACTAGGGCTTGGCAATTAATTAAATAAATTTGATTAATTAATGTTTTTAATTATCAACATTTAAATGAAAATTGCAAAATGGTAAAATCGAGGATCATTATTAAACAAGTTAACTCCTGACTTTGTTACTTGCAAAGCAGCAAATTAAACAATTGGTTAAAATGATAACAAATGGCAAAAAATATCATTCTAATTTAATCTATTAAATTTAGATTACATATCTATACAAATGTAGATGAAGAAGTTTACAATTTCATTTAACAAAATGGACATGGAACTTCCCCTGTTTGAAATATACCAATCCCTGCTCTGACTTAAAATCATAATCGTTCCAGTGTATGCAAAAATAAATAAATAAATACATTTATATACACTCAGGAAAAATCAAATATACGATGCAAGCTATATAGAATTATGTTGCAAGGAAAAAAGTTAAATAACTAAACTAAACTAAATATTTTTTTATATTTTATATTCAAATGCTCAGAGAAGTCATCCTTTGCTTTGTTGACAACACTGCAAACACTTGGCCTTCTCACAATGAGCTTTGTGATGAAGTCTCCTCAAATGGTTTTCACTTCACAGGCATCCTTTTCAAGGTCAAGAAATGCCAAGTGCAAAGTAGTGCTCAAAAGGGTAGCTCTTTTGTTAAAATCTCAAACAATTTCACCATGAATTCACAAGAATCCACAATGCAAATGATTGTGGAAATAAAAATTAAAGAAAAATAAAAAAAAGTCTGCCCAAACGTTAGCTCTCCCACAATTTCCCACATTTCAATCATTTTTTTATGCACAAACAATAGCATGAAATCCTCAAAGAGAATAATGTACTATTGTCTTTGTTTTGTTTTTTCTGCTGGTTGAAACTACGGTAGGTGAGCTGTGGCCAACACTACATGCAGATAAATTACAATTGTTGTCACATTTGTGAAGTGATTTAAACCTGATGTTTTACCTTTTCTTAACTAACAGGTTGCTGAGTTTATTTTCTTACACCGTTGTTGATCTCTGACACACTGCATCAAGTCGAACAGAAAAAATTAATATTCCTGTTTTCATGTTCATATTGTTTAATAAGAATGAAATGACCTAATGTATAGCACTGTTTGCATTTAACTCGGATAATCACATTTATATTTGTATTCTTTAGCTTTATGTTGTAGTGTTCCTTATTTCATCCTTCTTGTATAACTTTTATAAAAATCTGTTTAACTTAATAACACAAAATAATAGTTTTTGCTTCATACTGTTATTGTAGATGGAGTACCAATGTCCTGTCTTTGTACTGTAGTGTGTTTGTTTCTTTGTGAATTTCTATTTTTGAATCTTTTACAAAACTGACACATTTCTGTGTGTGTGCTTTATCTGTTTTATAGACAGTGGTGCTGAGCGGTCATGTCCACAGTCTGGAGTGCCTTCACCTAGTCAGTCCTCGTCTTCACACACCCTTTCCAAAGCTAAAGGCTCTCTCCGCAGACAGTCTAAATCTGCTGTAAGATATTCTTAAACTGAAGTTTGTGAAACTGAACATTTGTCCATTTTGTCCATTAATGTATGGTTATGCTTTATATTTCTAGGAGATGGGAGACAGTGGAGGGAACGCTGGACAGCTGATGGTTAAAGCTCGTTTCAACTTCAAACAAAACAATGAGGATGAGTTATCCTTCAGCAAAGGTGAAGTGATCCTGGTGACACGGCAGGAAGAGGGAGGCTGGTGGGAGGGCACGCTTAATGGGAAGACAGGCTGGTTCCCAAGTAACTATGTCCGAGAGGTCAAAACATGTGGTGAGTCTGGTTTAAAAAAACTTGATGTTTTTGGTGTAAGAAGCATGTATCATGATTGTTTTGTGCCACTAGATGGTACTGTCTGTACTAATTTGTTTCTGTGCAATTTCTTAAGCTGAGAAACCTGTATCCCCCAAAGGAACTCAACTCACAAAGAATTACTTCAGCGTGGTAATTGTTAATATTGAGCACATATTTACCTTTAAACTACAAATGTAGCTTTGAATAATACTCAGTTTTATTCTCTGGTCTAAAGGTGGTACAGGATATTCTAGAACATGAGCGTGAATTTGTAAAAGACTTACAGGTTGTTTTGGGTTCCTACCTTCGACCACTTCAAGCCAGTGACAAGTAAGACTAATGATAAAGCCAAGTTCTGTATATTTGTTTGACATAAACAAATAATGAATAATGAATAATGACTTTTTTGCACAGTGTACATGCCAGAGTACACATTTGTTTTGACAACAAAAAAACATGTATTTACTTCTGTTTTTGTTGTCAGATTAAGTCCAACTGATAGTACAACGCTTTGTGGAAATTTGGAAGAAATCCTGAGCTTTCAGCAGGGCCTTTGCGCAGCTTTGGAAGACTGCACCAAGTAATTCCACTTGATTTATAGTCTATAACCTTTTCAAAGTTGCATTAACTGCCTCATGATGAATACAGAAGGAGTTATTTTTAGTCACATATCTTAAGCTCTAAACAGCAAATTTATTATGAATTTTAAATGTATTGTCTAAATATTACAGATCATATTACACTTTATTACTAATAGTTTTTTTTCCCCCATCTTATGTGTCTTTTTCTTGTTTAAACCTCAGAGTTCCAGAGTGCCAGCAGCGGGTGGCAGGCTGCTATGTTGCTTTGATGAATCAAATAAGGGCATTATACCTGGCCTACTGCTCTAGTCATCCTTCAGCAGTCTGCATTCTCACTGACCATAGGTTGGCATTTTTTTCATTTTTTGCAATTATTCTATAAATAAATCATTGTGTTTTATACCTCTTCTTTTCTTAGTTAGCAATTTCTAGTTTGGCCACAAGATTTCAGTAGATTATAGTGTGAAGAGCAAATATATTATTTGCACTTATATTTGTTATCATATGTACCAGCATGTAGAGGATGTATGTGCATTACTTCATTTACGGTGAATTGACTGTTGTTAACAAAATGGTTTCAGAGTATAGAAGTCTACCAGGCAGCATTATAAGGTTTTATTGCTGTGTTGCAGTTTTAAATACAGACAGGAAGCCATCTGTTGACAGGATATATATTCACATTGTGGTTTGTGTGGTGACAAGCAAGCCTTTTCATTTTTGTGAAGGCTCCTAATTATCCTTGTCATCTGATCTAATTTGCACCCAAAGTATAATCCTGCATCATTTTTTAATTTTTTTTATTTTAAATGATTATTATAATAAAAAAATATTATTTTGTTAAACAGCGATGAGCTTGACAAGTTTATGGAAAGTCAAGGTGCAAATGTTCCAGGGATCCTAACTCTGACCACCAGCCTCAGCAAACCTTTTATCAGGCTGGACAAATATCCAACACTTCTTCAGGAACTGGAGAGACATGTGGAGGTACATATTATTGCCCCAACATACGCAGTGAAATTACTGATTTAACTTTTAAGATTCACTATTTGATTTCAATCGCAGGAGACCCATCCTGACTACCCTGACATCATAAAGGCAACAGCTGCATTTAAAAACCTTGTTGTAAGTCTCACCAATATTTAAATACATTGTATTTTGAGGGAGTAGATAATCTTATTTTACAGTATATGTTCAAAGCCAAATTCAATAAATACAGCAAACCTAAATTTTAATTACTTTAATCTGGCTCTAAGTATCACCGAAACTGTACTTTATTATTTAGAAAGTTTGATTTTGTGAAGCTGATGACATACTAGAGGAAACATACGTATTAGACAGTGTCAGTGTAAAAGAATTAAGGATTTTAGTTGTTTCTCAAGAAGTGTGAATAATTGTAAAATTGTGTTTCTTCTCACACAAAAATGAATATTCTGACATCCTGAGTGGTGAGCAACCACATGCACTTTTATGAAACTCTTAGAAATGTGATGTGGAAAATGTTGCAATGTCATTTCTGAAAAGGGAGAGTCCCCTCTACTGCAAATCATAATGTATGTAACTCCAAGAAAATTTCGATTTTATTCCCTATTACCCTATGCCTTGTATAGTGTGGTAAGCCACTGTGCCACAATTGTTCACATCAAGTTTTTGTTTGTAGATGCAATGCCAAAATCTGCGTAAACGTAAGAACCTGGAGCTGCAGATTTTGTCGGAGCCAGTGCGAGGCTGGGAGGGAGACTGTATTAAGAGCATGGGTCAGGTGTCCTACATGTCCCAAGTCTACATGAAGAATGGTTCCAGTGAGGTATGATGACCAATACAGCTTATCACAGTTTCTTTGGATTTGCAAGCTGCACTGGCCAACGTGACTTAATACACCTGTGTATACTTTATGCTTACTGGTGAATAGTGTACAAATGAGTTGCTGTGGTGATTTGTTTTGCTGAATAAAAAAATAGAACAGAAACCAGTGTAAACCATAATTTAGTGAGAAAGCTTTGTGCTCCCTTTAGTGTGGTTTCTTTGAAGGGGTCGACTTCGGATTTGTGGTCTAACAGTGTGCAAAAGAGACATTTGGATACGCCTAATCAGGCAAGCAGTTTCCAGATGTTATTTTAATCATAATAATTAAAATAACCTTATTTGTTTCATAACTAGAGTTTTACCGCCATAATATTATTGAGTTTCAGAGTTTCACACTTGACTAAGTGCCATACATACTGCAACCCACAACTAGGTTAAGTAGATGAATATGACCAGCCTTGGCACCTATTTGTGTTACAGGAAAAAGAGGAGCGCTACCTAATGCTTTTCCCAAATGTGTTAGTAATGCTGTCTGCCAGCCCACGCATGAGTGGTTTCATTTATCAGGTAAGGAAAGTGATGTCAAAATATTAGTAATTGTTATATAATTGTGAATGAATAGACATTCTGTTTTTAATGATACTTCTTCTATAAAGTTGTAAAATTTGATTATTTGTCATAGGGACGACTGCCTCTAACAGGCACCACTGTGAGCAGACATGCAGAGGAAACAGACAGTGTGCAGTTTGCTTTTGATATTGCAGGTACATCCCCACAAGTCTAGAAGTCTGTACACATTTGGGTCCATTGTTTAAAAATGTCATCGTTTTTGGAGCCTTGTGAATTGACTAGTTTTTAACAAATACTTGTTTTATTAACGGTAGAGAAAAATAATGTACCTACTTAATTATGATATACCTACCTTGTACGTTTTTAACATGTCCCTTTCAAACACCTGATCTTTACTTCCATTTTTTGCATGTTGGTAAGTAGTAGCAGGTTTTTAAAAATAAAATGTGACTTATTTTTCTCTGTATATTGCACAGGAAGCATGATTGAGCGTATTACAGTCTTCTGCAGTAGTGCCTTGGAGTTACAAGAGTGGTTGGAGCACCTTCAACCTTTTACTAAAGGAATCAGCCCCACAGGCACCATCATAAAGGTTCTACACTAAACAGATGCATTTCTTTTGAATATTTATGTTGTAAACATGTTTGTTCCATAGAAGATTTTTTCAAGTGACTGAAAATATATCTCCTTTAGACAGTAGAGGGGAAGTCACTGAGTATAGTGGGCAACCCCACTCACTTATCTCACCTGGGCAGCATCAGTGCAGCCTCTCGTGGCCCTTTGGAACCTCCAAAGGTCAATAAACCCTGGTCCTTGAGCTGTCTGCGGCCTGCTCCACCCCTAAAACCATCTGCCGCACTTGGATACAAAGAGGTATGCAACTGATAGGCACCAAATACAAATAATGGAGTATTACAATTTGCAAAGCCTTGAAGCTATTTTTGACTTAGTTGTCCTATTTAAAATGATGTATGAAAAATTAATCCAGTAATGCTATGGGTGTTTTTGTGGTGCTGTTATGTTCACATTGTAATAATGAGTTACTTGATGTCCTGCTCATCTTCATAGTAGGTATTGCATGAATAATTTCTCTCTTCCTCTTCTAATTTCTTAATGATCCTATTCCGAGACAAAGAATAGGTGAAGGGTGCATAGTGATAATATTCATCAATGACTCTTGAACATTGGTGTCTCCTATTTCATGCACATGTTCTGTTTTTCTTTTTTCCACTCTGCCCTATATAGAGGATGTCTTATATCATGAAGGTAAGGTTAGCTGAACAGCAGTCCCTGTTTGTGGCTGAGTGACATGGGGTTGTCTGTGGCGTCTGCCTTGGTGTTGAGGCATGTGTTTGCTGTGTCTGCTGCTCTGCTTTTTGTCTGTTTCTATTATTTTTTTCACACATGTAAGTTTACTAAGGCTTGTTGAATGAATTCTAGTAATATGAACAGCAGACATATGTGTTACTATGGCTCAAGTCAAATATAATTAATCAAAATAAACCAGTGCAAATAACACATAAGCATATGAGATCTGCTCAGGACAGCTTGAAATTGTAAATGATGAATGTGCTTATGTCTGTAGGTGAGATTACATGAACTCACCCTCGTGTTTTTTCAATTTGGATTTTTTGGGTTGGATTTTAAACGGTATCATAAGTAGCCATATATTTATGTGGTTGCAAAGTTGATAAAAGTTAAGTTAAGGATTGCCTTGGTGAGACATAGGGCAGCAGGCTGGTCATGCTGGTTTCTGTTCTTTCTCTGATGGCTTTGCTAATTGTAATTAACTGTTTTCTGTTATCCTTATAATTTCCTAATATAATTTCTGAATCCTGTTGTTCATATAATACGTAAATTTCAGTTGCTTGATTCTCAGTTGAGAAATACATACACACTTTGTGATGGCAAAATATTGATAAATGTTGATATATCAAACATTTAACTGGAAATGTTCCTACTATAAATCTGTATCTTCCAGAATGCCCATTTATGCTATTGTTTCCATCATAGTGTTTAATTGGAAACAAAACTGATCTGATTCACTTAACAAAAGCTGACGAGGCTCTCAGAATGTTTAGTTTCCATATTGCATAAACCACATGTAAGAGCTAATACAACAGTTTACACAGTAGTTTACATATATTATGTATAATCTCTTGTGGTTGTAGTTTTACTTAATCACATTTTAAGTTTTACTGCAAAGGAATTGTGCTAAATGTGAATTTAGTAGCATTAACTCCATTTGTTGACTACATCTGCACTGTATTTGTATCTGTATTAGTTTGGTCATTAATATTACCTGACTGGAATTGAAAGTGTGCTGTCTGCATTTCTGACATCTAAGCTCTGCATACATGTTGGTCTGGACCTGCCTTTTAACATAATGTAAAATGAATGAAATGTTTAGATTTTTTATTTGTTTTTTTAATGTAGGAGTCCAGCAGAAGCCCAAGACCTATGAAAAAGTTCCTGCCTGGTAATAGGAAAAAAGAGCGCAAACCATCAGATGATGACATTCAAACCAGAAAAAGTAAGAAATACAGAAACATTATTAATTTTGCACTTTACTTACTTTAAAAAATATATTTTTAGGCACCGTTGCTCTTGAGGAAGATGCCCAGATACTACGAGTGATAGAGGCCTACTGCACACAGGCCAGCCTGCACCAAACCACAACTGGTGAGGATACCATTAAAATAAAAGATTGATTATTTTCCTAATAGACTGTCGGCATACCAAATAATGATAAACCCATGAATTGCCTGTTTGTGTAGCCGTACGGAAAGAGTGTGTCCCTCAAGTGCTTCTGCCCGAAGAGGAGAAGATCATTGTTGAAGAGATGAAGAGCAACGGGCAGACAGTGATTGAGGAAAAGTGAGAAATATCATTTATACTTTTTACACAATAATAAAATACATATCTTCCCTGTTCTGGCAAATGTGCACAAAGAATACAATATACAAATACAATTTTTATACATTTTATAATAATTGCTGAATTGGTCACATCGCTGGTCCCAGAATTTCAACCCTCTTTTTCAGTATGCTATTGAAGTATGCAAGATTCCCTGATTTTCTGTCCCCGTAAGTTCAAGGACATTTTAGTGTTATTCTGGTAGTTGCCACCGCAGAACTGAACTGACTTTGTACATTCCATTCAAATCCAAAAGGGTCAGGAATCAGACCAAAGAGTGTGACAAACCACTGTCCACACTTGGAACCGTCAAACTACAACTGCTTTTTACTTGTGCATTTTTGTTTTGACACACATAGGCCATGCTTTAATCTGATAAGATGTCAATTATGCCTACCTGAAATTGGGGAGATGGGATACGGTTATAGACCCCCATGCGTTAAGTTTTGTCAAAATGTGTTTTTGGCAGGCCAAGTAAGAAGCAAAACCACAATTTTAAGATAGCGTAGCTTTAAAAAGAAAAAAGCATGAGATACACATTATAAAACAAAAGAATAACCTGTATGTAATTAAACTGAAATAATCATTTAAATGTCATTTTAGGAGCTTGGTTGATGCCGTTTATGCTTTAAAGGATGAGGTGCATGAGCTTAAAAAGGTAACAGACATTTTGACTTGTGAAATAAAATGTGGTGCCAATTGACATTTGAAGGCAGCATTGTTGTAGACTCTTCTGAATGTATATGTGTTTTCTTTCTATGACAGGAGAACAGGTGGATGAGACAGTTTCTGGAGGAGGAGCAGAAGTCTCGAAAGGAGTTGGAGAGGGTGGTCAGGAAACTGGCCAAGCAGAAGAATGATTGTACTTGGGAGGATGGTACCCACTGACCTTCCACACAATACAACCTTAGGGTTTAAAGTGCCCGTCAGACTGTTTATACAGCACTTCTGTGATTACAACTCCTTCTGGACTATCTTTCCAATGCATGGAGTGACTCAGTGCTATACTTTGACTTTATAATAAATCTGCTCCGTCCTTTGAGTATAATTTGTGAAAGTCAGAAAAACAGGACCTCAAATAATCAGGAGCACAACTCCAAATTCCAAATTGACACAAAAATGTAACATAAAATAAAATTGTATAAAGTTTGCCAAACATTGATACATTTACATTTTGCATTTACAGTTATGTTACATACTACAATTATTTATTGTTTAAAATGCATCATTCACCTTATTGCTATGGTTTGCTGCCTTTAAATACTGTGGATTTTGTTTTATAACCATGGCAATAGCAGTATAGTTCAAATGCAAGTACTACTAAAATTTGGACTGTTATTCTAGGTTAATTAAGGTTATAACAAGCAGTGATGAAATTTCAGGTTATGAGTAGAGCTAAGCTAACAAGTGCCTCTCTGAAGTGGTCCACAATGTATTCAATAAGGATCAGTTTAGGGTTAAAATGCATGGTTTGTACTAAACGGTTTATTGATCTATGTCATGAGTGTTAAGGGACTTGGGTGTTGGGTAAGTAAATTTTTTGCAGCGGTACAATGAGTATGTTTTACTTAAGCCAGCTGATGTTATTCCAGCATGGGTGGTATTTTTGTATTTGACTAAATAGCAATAAAAATAAAATACCAATCCTCTTTGTTAACCAAAATAGGACAGACTTGTTGGGCAGTGGCCACTAGTCCTGTGATGATGTTTGTGTCCAAAATAAGGTCCTAGATTTCAAACAGGTTTGTTACAGCTGTATCTTATTGTTAAGCCATTTGTCAGGCACATATTTTAACATGTAAAACGTGTAGCGTTTGTCAGGGTTATGTGACTTAGTTTTTTCAAGCTGTCTCGACTGTACAATCCATTTCATTGACCTCTGTACACACCAACATCTTGCTTTTGTTACTATATCTTTCCCATTGAGTGTTTTTGAAAATGTATTCTATGCAATATTGGAGAAGCTTTTTTTCTAGACACTGTTTTTCGCGGTACACTCTACCATATGCATTTATTTTATTAAAATCTAATATAATGAGATGCATCTCAATTGTATGTGACTTTTCTCTTGTATTAAACAACCATAAAAATAATATTTAAATCTGTTTCCATCTTCAGACTACCCCTTTTCCATGCTGCATTCTTTAGTGGGGTTCAGGAATTTGTGGGTTGACGGGTTCAGACAGCTTTGATGGAAGGACTGAGTCAGTAGCATCCTGTATGCATCACCTCTGCCTTTACACAACAATTTCTGATCAAGATTCACACTTTCCATGCACTGCTGCAGCAGCAACTGAAATCGGCACTACCCACTTGTTCAGAAAAAAAAAAATTCATTCCCCAGAATACTCCACTAAATGTGGAAACTGAACTGATTTCTGTTATTAAATTATATTTTTTTACTCATCTGTCCCCTTTTTATTGTCCGCTGTGGGAACAAAAATTTGCTCCAATAATACCAGCAATACCAACTCATGCTTAACAAAAATAAATACATTTTTTCAAATAAACTTTCTAGCCCTAGTATCGCTACATTAATGTTTTTGGCCCTTAGTGGTTAAACATGTCTTAAATCTTTAAGTCCTTAAAGTACAGACAATTTTCAATAAGTGGGGTGAGAGACTGCATAAACCACAAAACATCTGTGATAAAAACTGGCTTTGTAATAAAAGTAACAATAAAAGGGATCAACTTTAAATATATGTTTAAATGTAAACATTATTTATTTACAGAAATAAATTAACAATTGCAATACTCTGAAATGTAAGAGGTGAATGTTAGAATGCATTTTTCATCCTGTTCTAATTATTCCTGTGAGACTATTGTCTGTACCGTCTTAAACAGGCGATACTTTAAACAGCGGACGGTTAGTTGAAAGACAGAAAATAATAATTAATTCTTGCTTCTCCAAAGTGAGGAATCTTTACTAACCTATATTTAAATTCAATAAATAATTATTTACATAACTTAAGTCCAAAATTGATTCAACAGTTGAGTCCATATTTTACGTTCTCTGGCACCATCATAGATTATATAATCCAAAGGCTGTTGCTGTTTCATCATACCGGACTAGAGAGATGTCCTCAGTCCATATACTCAGCTGGTTGCCTCTTTCCAGTTTGATCACATCTTCTGCAGTGGCTGTGCACAAAGTGGATATTGTAAGGCAAAATGCATCCATTATAGATTTGGGTTTATCCGTTGTGGTTTTCCTCCACAGCACTCTGTTGGTAAGGGGGATAGAGGAGTGACTTTTGGAGAAAGTCACCCTTGAGTAAACAAAGTAGTCTCCGGGTTTCTCGATGGTCAGCCAGCTGCTGTTGTAGTAGTTAATGTATGGCTGGCTGTATTGACTGTGTTTGAGGTCCCATTTGAGATGTCCACCTAAAAAAAATATAAACCTATAGTCAGTAAAAATAAAGCATACTCATAGGAAAGTCTATAGTAAAAGAGATTATTACGTTGGGGTCTGTGTGGCGTGGTTGGCCTTTGAAACTTCATTCGGGCAAAAACTCTATGTGACTCTCTTTTCTCGACATGGGGGCTGTGCTGCTCTTGCATAGAAAACTCTGGAAAAAATAACAAATGTTGAATCTGGGACTCAATGAGAATCCAGTGAACCATTTTGTTAGGGTTAGGGTTAGGGTTAGGGTTAGGTTGCACTTACTTGCTTCAGCAGATGAGACAGGCATATCCTAAAAACACCAGATAGTCAGGTTGTGGTCACATCAGCTATTAGACCATAATTGATCAAACAAACATACTTAAAACTAGTATCACAATGTATTGAAATTGTATAGCAATTTTTATTATAAAGGAGCTGAATTTCCCATACCTGTTTTCTTTGTGGTATGCCATTCGTGTACAGGTAGATAAAGCCCAGTATGGACAGAAGCAGATTGAACAGCACCACTGTGACCATGAAGCACATGACGGTCCTGCTGTGGCCCTGGGGCAGCATTGTGGTGGGGATGAGCACAGGTTGGGGCCCCTTACGGGAGTTGTGCAGGCGCGGGGGCACCGGCGGAGGGGCCACGCTGCTGTGGTACGTGTTGATCATAGCAGAGCTGGAGGTGCAAAGAGGCTCTTCAAGAGTGCTGCTCTAAGATGCTTCAGTTTTTCTCGTTTGACTTCCTGGAAAGGATGAAGTCTTTCTGTGTGCACATACATGTTTCAAAGGCTTTCATATGTTCTTCCTTCCTCTGCTTGCACGCTTCACCTTTGCATTACTAAGAACTCTTCTATTTACAGATGTTCTTTCATTATAACCACACAACAAAATGCACTCACTATACAAGCATATTCTGCTGTTAATGAGAACTGGAAAATCTTACAAAAAGCACAACATAAAACTATACATTAAAGGCAGATGATCAAAAATGAATACAATTGTGATATGCTAAATTTGAATATCAAATATACAATTTTATTGTTAAAAACTAATTATGAATTAAATAGGGGAAAGTATTATGTAAACATCCAAATAATTAAATGATGTTTCTGCACTTTTGTTTCTGTAAATTTGTAATTATTTCATAAACTAATTAATTTAAATGTGTTTAAAGATGTTGTAACATGTTTTTTTGACTGACATAATTTGCTCTAAATCAAGATATCAAGATATACAATTACTACTATAAAGAAGATATACTATATACTACTATTACATAAATAAATAAATAAAGATAAAAAAATAGGAGCATTTAATAATACTTTTCACCTGTGCACGCCAGCTCAGCTGTGGTGGGACATTTACTCAAAAACAGACATTGCTGAGGTTTCTGTCAAACCAGACTGACCTGAATAGACTTCATGAGAAAGAGTTTATTCACATGGTACAGTGATACTGAGATGATCACAGGGAACAATTAAGTTAGAGTTGAATAATTAAACAAAAGTGAAATTTGGATAATAGTTGTAATGGTAAAAAAAAAAAGTATGGTACGATGAATAACACTTTATATATATATATATATTGTTCTTTGTTTTGTATAACAGTAATTATTATTTGTTCATTATAAGCTGCAATATTTCTCTAAAAACAACTTAATAACATTCCTGCTTTCCTGTTCAACTCTTTTTTTTTTCTAGCAAGTCCACAGCAGTGGGCAGATATAGGGGGTATTTGATACAGAATTTTTCTGAGCACTTATAGAATAGTTAAAAGTCCATTTCACAAGTTATGTCTTCTTCATTGTCTCATTTGAAATAAATTTAGTCTAAAGTTAAAGGAAATAAGAGTTACAATCAAAAAAATGGCATGAAAATATTCTGAAGTATTATGAAGTTTTATGCAGTATAGTGAACAACTATAGTGTGGTTTTCAGTCCGCCCATTGTAAACAGAGGCCTGTTTAAGTGTGCTGAGGTGCAGTTGTGTGGAGCTCAGAGAGGTTTGTCTATTCAGTGGAGACAATACAGTGAAAGGCTTCTTTGGAATTGGAGGTCCCTCTTCTTGAGCACAATTTGGATCATCTTGACACTTTATGAAGGCCACAAAACACCTGTAAAACTAAGGAAACATCTTCTATCAGATCTAAGCAACAGGAATATAAGACATCTTATTTCCTCTCTCACCTGGTTGTTGAAGAAGATATAGATGACAGGGTTAACCACAGTGCTAAACTTGGCAAGAATGGAGGGCACTATACTTGCCACAGGAGACACAGTCCCAGAGCGACCAAATGTGGCGATGAGAGCCATGATGCCATAGGGCATCCAGCAGAACATGTAGCAGGACACCATGGACAGCACCATGAGCAAGATGTGCTGCTCCCTCCGCTGGGCTGAAAGCACGTTGATCTTACCCACCTGAAACTCAAGCAGCGAGTTTTAATAAAACATTTTTTAAAGCCCTTCACTTTGTTTTTATTTGTTTATATTTTAGCTTGAAGTTAGGGAGAATTTTTGCTACTACTACCAGTATAAAAAAAATCGCCATGAGTACAAATAATTTTAATATTTCAAAGAATGCTTGCATGGCGCCATCTGATGGCTAAAAGTGGACACATTATATAAACTGACAAAGTTATAACAGGCAGCATGTGATGGAGTTAGAGTCATACAAAGATTTTACTATATGTCTCTTCAGTGGGGATGTGATGATTTGTCTGATCATGAGTTAAAGGAATTTGCTGGTCTTTTTTAAGCCTATATTTTGAACCAGTTGTTTCCTCCTGTCTTACTGTCTCACACACCATGAGCTATGAGCTAACCTAAGTCTGTGTCGTGACTCATGAGCCCAGTAATTAGGGCTAGTGCATCAGCGGGGCTCTCACTGTAGCTCCTTCACCTCTTCAACCTCTAATTTCAATCTGGGCTTTATGCTTTGGTGGTGCATCCTGGCAGTGTTACGTGAAGATTTATTTTAATTATTTCAGGGAATCAATTCAACACATTTTTTTCTTTCATTTTACTCTTATTTGGTAATACTGTGGGATTACAGTTACAGGAGATGACATTTTGGACAACTAACTTGAGAAATGTCAAGAGGTGTGAGTTTTAAATTACTGACCAACCAGTTATAAACAACAAGCAGAAGATAATACAAGTACAATATGAGTAAACCATAATGTAACCTTATCTTCATGTGACGCTCTATGACTTGAGTTGAGTGTAATGGCCCTCTGACATGGCTGGTCATAGAGCTGTGTAGTCTAATGAGCTTCTGGAANTAATGTTGCATTTATTATTTTTTTATTTTTATAGTTCAAAGTGTCATACTGTTTCACCTGTTGCACTGATTTCAGTTTTTTTTTAAGTTTAAATAAAATCCGTTAATGTGTAGTTAGTCTGAATGTGGAGACTATCCATAAAAAGCCATATTAACTGTATGATTTGACAATTTTGTGTCCTTAGTATTGCATAAGTATATTCATAGTATTGAATTGTAATGATCATTTGAACATTCTTGTTGCTAAGTGTTGTACCCATTTCACCATGCAAAACAAAACTGGTCTGAAATCCCTCCCCTTACAGCATTTATTTGATAAGTCCAAAATGGTCCAAGCTAAATTGTTTTTTAAGAGTGCACCGTGTAACATTTTTGATGGGTCAGTCTAATGCTTTTCTTCATGGAAATGTTATTGCTTTGTCGGGAATCATTCACAGTTTGTTATTAAACCTTTCTATCGTCATGGAGACCAAACCAGACCAGGTTACAGGTCAGGTCTGTGGAGAGGCGAACCCACTCAGTGAGAATGCCTGTTTTTCTAGATATTTTTGAACTACAAAACTATCCGTAATTTAATAAATGTAAGTTAGAGCTGTTTGCAATGATATATCCATAGAAACAAGGTGACAGATCCAACCAAAGTTACATAGTGCACTTTAAAGCAGTCTTTGATTTTAAGCACAGTTCATTTATATCAATTTTGATGGAGATCACATATACTGTATTCTTCTAATAATAAACAGGGGATATCTAGCATATCTTAATTGAAATAAATGTAATAAGCCTTGTTTTGTGTTTTATTGAAAAAGATCATACAATAGAAAATGGAGACTCACATTGGAGAACAGTCTTATGTTATGGAGAGAAACATTTAGATCCTTCAGTGAATTACTTGACAATGTCCGCATTTACTTTTTTACATTCAATACTTTTGTGCGAGAGCTTTTCAGACGATTAATTTCTTAAATGGCAAAAATATACAGTGTTTCCTAGACAGTATCTACTCTACCATGGCTAGAGATGGGTTCCAGATATGATCTAAGAAATGATAACTAAATTAAGCTTATAAAGTGGTTATAAAAAGAAAACAAAAATAAATGTTTGGTTAAAAAAAGGAAGAAAAAAAATTAAGTGATTAAAATATATGAAAACTAATCAAAGTGGCAAAGGCAAAGTAGTAAAGCCTCAAAATTAAAATTGTGGATCTGGGAGGGCATCTGGTTTAGAGACCTAATAAAGGCTGTTGCTCTGACAATATAGAAATATAGCCTTGTTTTTAGCATATCTCTTCCAAATACTTCAAATTAGAGTTTAAAAGTCTTGTTATTAGCCAAGGCAACTCCTGAATATAAAATATAACTAATAATTCCATTCATATTATTAGTTTTGATCTGTTTTGATAACCGTTACAAATAATTTTTTCTTGTGCAATTGTGTTATGGTGGCAAGTAACCCCACATGAGAAAGTATTGATAGAAATTGAAAGCTACAGTATTATTTTAGTATTATTTTCAGTAGTATTTCAGTAGTATTTTAGGTTGCAGCAATTTATGTCACTGAAAATGACTTGATAGACATTTTAAAAGATATGGATTTACCTTAATAAACTGAACAGGAAAGGCTATTTGTGCTTAAATATGTGCAATGACACTTGATAAACTGCGAAACTCTGTAAATGATTGGAAAAAAAGAAATGACAAGAGATTTAAGAGTTGAAAATAATGAAAAAAATCAAAATGATTGTGTGCGAAAAAGAATAAACTGCAGATTTTAATCACAAAAAACAGCAAATTTTGTGAAAATGTAGTGTCAAATTGTCCTTTTTGACAGTTCTGTGTAGATCAACATTACGAATCCTTGGTGCAACTTGACCGGTTTTTCTTTTCATCTTGTAAAAACACAACATAAATGTTTTTTTGTCCATAGAAATATTTACAAAAAGACAGAAGCCGGATTTGCCACGTCAGCCGATTTAGCATCTTCAGCGTCATTCCGAATCCTCCTCTTCTGGTATGTACGGTTTGTCGTCCAGGGAGTCAAAATTGTCGTTGCCATGGTTACTGTTGTATTTGGGGTGCAGCTCTCTCATTGACAGGATGCGGACCAGCATAGACTCCATGGTGGTGTCATCCAGTGGTGTGGAGGAGAACCACAGGGGGCTGTTCGGGACACAGCAGCGCTCTGGGAGCAGGTAGAACAGGTTTGTGCGCTGCTTCACTGATTCAGAACTGAGAGGAAAAAAGTAAAGGTTTGGGAAATTAAGTTATGAAGCACAATTTATTCAACAATGAAAGGAAACAGTGGGATAAAAATAAAATAAAAATAAAAACTGTAGCATCAATTAAAGGTGCGCTAGTGGAGAGTTCGCCGCCTGCTTGTCTCTATAGAAATGCATTGTGCTCTATGGGAGAATTCTTTCTTAGGTACTGCAGCTCCAGAGCTAGTCAAACTCGCTCAGGACAGAGGGTGCGTGTCTTATCCAATTATTATTATAGATCCATGGCTCAAACAAGGACCAAACCAGAACAAGACCCTTATTTTCTTAAACAGTTTCAAATGATCATATCACAGATGAACAGAGTGCACCACAGATATAACTCAGGCTTCTATAGAGTTTGATGTCAAATACATCATCAAGTCTCACCATTTTGAGAGGTAGAATTCATAAAGTCGGACAGGACATCGAAGAGGATTCTCTGAGTTTTCAGGCATCTCTAGCACCTCCTCTGTTGGGTCCTCGCTCTTTCCGCTTCTTTGGCGCTGGTGCATCTGTATCTGACCAAAAAAAAGTCAAACAATTTAATAATGATCTATTATTCTGAAAAAATAAAATGGCAATTTATGGATTTGAGTTCTAGAAAACTTGCAAAACTCGATTATGCCATTCATTTAAAATGGCACTTACTGTTGTCAAAATACTAAACTTCAAACTTGATTCTGGTACTAAAGAAAAGTCCTGATATTGGGTCCAAAGCATTAACATCTCAATTGAAAAAGTTAAAAAGAGCACCTTTAAACAATAGTAATAGTAATAGTAAGTAATAGAAAACTCAAGATTTTAAGCCAATGGTTGTTTTGGATCTAATGGTAGGATACACATTCACATATTCATATGTTGCTTCCAAGTAGTTTCATAGTTTCACTGCTGTGGGTCTTTTAAGGTTGTTTTATAATGTTGTTTCCACATCAAAACATACCTGGAGTTGTGTTGTGTTTTGTTTCATTCACACATGTTTAACACACAAACCCTGAATATTTAGACTGAATTCTTCCCTCAAACAGAAAACACTCTGTTCCACCTTGTGATGTCATGTGGTAATACAGGAAGTTCTCCATTGTGGTTTTAAACTCCATACACCTTCACTAGAATAATTTGGATAATTTCAGCCCTGGAATTGCCCAGCATTTTGAGCTTTGGAGATGTAGACAGACTAACAAAACACAACTCAAAGTATGTTTTTCATGAGCTATCACCATTCTAACATGGCTTAAAGCTCACAAGAGTTGATTTGTATAATATAAGTTTTTGCAAGCTTTTATAGTCAAAGGAGCCTGCAATTCTATCAAATCAAGGTTACTATTATTTCCACAGCTTTATTTTGCAACATGTGATACCTGCTGCTGGGGGCACTTGTGGCAGCACGTGCTGGGGCACAGGAGGGTAAAAGCGGAGGAAGGTGGTCTTGTTGTTGCTGGGGTCGGTTTTTGTGCAGCGCATGACGTGAGCGAATGAGAGCTGCCGATGCTGCTCCACCGTCCGAAAGCCAAAGTGTTTACAGCAGAAAAAAAGCAGTGTATTCAGCAGCACGATGGGGGAATATGCCCCCAACTGTTTACACTCCCACATGAATGACTCCTCCACACGGGAATGCACGTAACCTGTAAACAAAATACAGAAAGAAGATACAAGGGTTTAATGTCAAATCAAATATGGAGACTGGTGGACACGTGAAGAGAGACATTGCACATAACCTGTTAACAAAATACAGAAAGAAGATACAAAGGTTTACATCTTTTTAGCACATTTTTTAAAACAGCTATCATTCACAAACACACCTGCACATTGAATTCAGCTTGTTTTTTTCAACACTAGAGGCCTGCTCTCACGTGCTAAAAGACTTAGGCTGTGTTGAACAAATAATCTGTCTACACAGTCATTCAAACACGTTGATACTGAAGAAAAAAAAAAAAAATCATAAAAATTGGGGAAAAAGAGATTTCCTGAATAATTTTAGAATGATCTTGATCTGTATCAGAACCATTATTAAACCAAACTGAAACATTAAAGAAAAAAAACATTGAAATAAAATACAAAAAACATTTTAATGATTGCAAAATGAGCAGGTAAAACTCACCGCTGGATGTGACGATGGGTTTGAAGTCTCCCAACATCTTTGTGAAATCTGCAGAAAATCGACTGTAAGAACCGATCCATGAAGATGTTCTCCACACGACCATTATCAAACAGGTGCTAAAACAGGAAATAAGAGCGTACAGGTTTAAAGGCTGAAGTTAAAAATAAGCATTATGGAACTTTCTTGGTGGTATGTCTGCCATGTGCTTGTCTCCATGAAGATCGTATTGTTAGGAATATTTTACATTATAGCATTAAAGATATCTGTTACCACGATACAGATACATTTATTGTGATCATTCAAACATTTTCAGGCCATAACTCCTCGCTTTGAATAGATGACTACCTTTGAAACCAGCTGAACATTTGAGCAAATAACAATAGTATCTCCATGAGGACAAGCAGTTGACAGAAACCCACGAAAACGTTACAGAATACACCTTTAACCATGTAAATTACTGTGAGAGTATTCTGTTACCTTCTGAATGCCGAGGCAGAGGTAGTAGAGGCTGTCGGGGGAATAGGGTTCTCCATTTGGACGTTTAATTTCAGACATGAAGAAACACAGACTCATACTGAGCTCTGCTGTGGTGCACTGGAGCACATCCTCCTTCAATTCAAAGGGGCGAGCTGTAAAAATACAAATGTAAAACACAAGACAGTTCTAATAATGTAAATAACACAGTTTCTATTTACAGCCAATGCGCAGTTTCTGTAGCTGTGGTTGATTTCGTCTCCAATGGACCCATTGTTTCCAGGCGTTCAGTCCGTATTCACTTTTCAATGTCACTTCTGTGTTAACAGGGGCGCTGGGGACCTCTGGCTCTGGGGACTTGGTGTACCGCTTTGGCTTACGACCCTTCAAATATATATAAAATAAAATAAAATAAAAGATCATTCATAGGTATACGATTTAGGTACAATAATTTTATGGACCCGGGAAGTAATGCAAGTGTGCTGTTAGCATCCTTGTTGCCATGACTGCAAAATTCCACTCTGAAAGTTGTGATAAGCACTTTAAACTCATCGCGGTGAATAATTAGGACATTAGGAATGCACAAGGTAAGTGAGGAATAAATTTGGATCACTGCAAGTAATTCAAATTAAACAAATTTTTTTTTATCACTTTAAAAAAAAGTAAAAATATCTGAATCTTACCCGTCTTTTCTCTCTGGCTTTCCGAGGATGTCTTGCAGGAGGTGATGGGGCACGAGGGGCCATTTGTCTTAGTTGGGACAATGACTCCAATGATTCTGTGAAAAAAAGAAATTTAGCCCCTCTTACCATTTTTGGTGACACCTAAACAAGACCATGAACGCTCATATTGATCACAGGCTCCTGAAAATGTGTTGTTTAAATCAGTTTTTAGACTTTCTCATAACTTTTCATCTAAGTTTTGTGTCCATGGTAACTGCTGAACATCCGCAATGGAAATGCATTTTAGAACACCCAAGCTTGATGTCAATGCCAGTATTAACATGCCCATCTGAGAGATTTTAAAAATATACATCTTTCCATGGTGTCGCTTAATCCATGGGGAGGCTGTATGCGGTTCATGACTGAATCGCTTCCTACGGGATGCAATGAGCTCCTTAAAGTACAGACAATTTTCAATAAGTGGGGTGAGAGACTGCATAAACCACAAAACATCTGTGATAAAAACTGGCTTTGTAATAAAAGTAACAATAAAAGGGATCAACTTTAAATATATGTTTAAATGTAAACATTATTTATTTACAGAAATAAATTAACAATTGCAATACTCTGAAATGTAAGAGGTGAATGTTAGAATGCATTTTTCATCCTGTTCTAATTATTCCTGTGAGACTATTGTCTGTACCGTCTTAAACAGGCGATACTTTAAACAGCGGACGGTTAGTTGAAAGACAGAAAATAATAATTAATTCTTGCTTCTCCAAAGTGAGGAATCTTTACTAACCTATATTTAAATTCAATAAATAATTATTTACATAACTTAAGTCCAAAATTGATTCAACAGTTGAGTCCATATTTTACGTTCTCTGGCACCATCATAGATTATATAATCCAAAGGCTGTTGCTGTTTCATCATACCGGACTAGAGAGATGTCCTCAGTCCATATACTCAGCTGGTTGCCTCTTTCCAGTTTGATCACATCTTCTGCAGTGGCTGTGCACAAAGTGGATATTGTAAGGCAAAATGCATCCATTATAGATTTGGGTTTATCCGTTGTGGTTTTCCTCCACAGCACTCTGTTGGTAAGGGGGATAGAGGAGTGACTTTTGGAGAAAGTCACCCTTGAGTAAACAAAGTAGTCTCCGGGTTTCTCGATGGTCAGCCAGCTGCTGTTGTAGTAGTTAATGTATGGCTGGCTGTATTGACTGTGTTTGAGGTCCCATTTGAGATGTCCACCTAAAAAAAATATAAACCTATAGTCAGTAAAAATAAAGCATACTCATAGGAAAGTCTATAGTAAAAGAGATTATTACGTTGGGGTCTGTGTGGCGTGGTTGGCCTTTGAAACTTCATTCGGGCAAAAACTCTATGTGACTCTCTTTTCTCGACATGGGGGCTGTGCTGCTCTTGCATAGAAAACTCTGGAAAAAATAACAAATGTTGAATCTGGGACTCAATGAGAATCCAGTGAACCATTTTGTTAGCACTTACTTGCTTCAGCAGATGAGACAGGCATATCCTAAAAACACCAGATAGTCAGGTTGTGGTCACATCAGCTATTAGACCATAATTGATCAAACAAACATACTTAAAACTAGTATCACAATGTATTGAAATTGTATAGCAATTTTTATTATAAAGGAGCTGAATTTCCCATACCTGTTTTCTTTGTGGTATGCCATTCGTGTACAGGTAGATAAAGCCCAGTATGGACAGAAGCAGATTGAACAGCACCACTGTGACCATGAAGCACATGACGGTCCTGCTGTGGCCCTGGGGCAGCATTGTGGTGGGGATGAGCACAGGTTGGGGCCCCTTACGGGAGTTGTGCAGGCGCGGGGGCACCGGCGGAGGGGCCACGCTGCTGTGGTACGTGTTGATCATAGCAGAGCTGGAGGTGCAAAGAGGCTCTTCAAGAGTGCTGCTCTAAGATGCTTCAGTTTTTCTCGTTTGACTTCCTGGAAAGGATGAAGTCTTTCTGTGTGCACATACATGTTTCAAAGGCTTTCATATGTTCTTCCTTCCTCTGCTTGCACGCTTCACCTTTGCATTACTAAGAACTCTTCTATTTACAGATGTTCTTTCATTATAACCACACAACAAAATGCACTCACTATACAAGCATATTCTGCTGTTAATGAGAACTGGAAAATCTTACAAAAAGCACAACATAAAACTATACATTAAAGGCAGATGATCAAAAATGAATACAATTGTGATATGCTAAATTTGAATATCAAATATACAATTTTATTGTTAAAAACTAATTATGAATTAAATAGGGGAAAGTATTATGTAAACATCCAAATAATTAAATGATGTTTCTGCACTTTTGTTTCTGTAAATTTGTAATTATTTCATAAACTAATTAATTTAAATGTGTTTAAAGATGTTGTAACATGTTTTTTTGACTGACATAATTTGCTCTAAATCAAGATATCAAGATATACAATTACTACTATAAAGAAGATATACTATATACTACTATTACATAAATAAATAAATAAATAAAGATAAAAAAATAGGAGCATTTAATAATACTTTTCACCTGTGCACGCCAGCTCAGCTGTGGTGGGACATTTACTCAAAAACAGACATTGCTGAGGTTTCTGTCAAACCAGACTGACCTGAATAGACTTCATGAGAAAGAGTTTATTCACATGGTACAGTGATACTGAGATGATCACAGGGAACAATTAAGTTAGAGTTGAATAATTAAACAAAAGTGAAATTTGGATAGTTGTAATGGTAAAAAAAAAAGTATGGTACGATGAATAACACTTTATATATATATATATATTGTTCTTTGTTTTGTATAACAGTAATTATTATTTGTTCATTATAAGCTGCAATATTTCTCTAAAACAACTTAATAACATTCCTGCTTTCCTGTTCAACTCTTTTTTTTTTCTAGCAAGTCCACAGCAGTGGGCAGATATAGGGGGTATTTGATACAGAATTTTTCTGAGCACTTATAGAATAGTTAAAAGTCCATTTCACAAGTTATGTCTTCTTCATTGTCTCATTTGAAATAAATTTAGTCTAAAGTTAAAGGAAATAAGAGTTACAATCAAAAAAATGGCATGAAAATATTCTGAAGTATTATGAAGTTTTATGCAGTATAGTGAACAACTATAGTGTGGTTTTCAGTCCGCCCATTGTAAACAGAGGCCTGTTTAAGTGTGCTGAGGTGCAGTTGTGTGGAGCTCAGAGAGGTTTGTCTATTCAGTGGAGACAATACAGTGAAAGGCTTCTTTGGAATTGGAGGTCCCTCTTCTTGAGCACAATTTGGATCATCTTGACACTTTATGAAGGCCACAAAACACCTGTAAAACTAAGGAAACATCTTCTATCAGATCTAAGCAACAGGAATATAAGACATCTTATTTCCTCTCTCACCTGGTTGTTGAAGAAGATATAGATGACAGGGTTAACCACAGTGCTAAACTTGGCAAGAATGGAGGGCACTATACTTGCCACAGGAGACACAGTCCCAGAGCGACCAAATGTGGCGATGAGAGCCATGATGCCATAGGGCATCCAGCAGAACATGTAGCAGGACACCATGGACAGCACCATGAGCAAGATGTGCTGCTCCCTCCGCTGGGCTGAAAGCACGTTGATCTTACCCACCTGAAACTCAAGCAGCGAGTTTTAATAAAACATTTTTTAAAGCCCTTCACTTTGTTTTTATTTGTTTATATTTTAGCTTGAAGTTAGGGAGAATTTTTGCTACTACTACCAGTATAAAAAAAATCGCCATGAGTACAAATAATTTTAATATTTCAAAGAATGCTTGCATGGCGCCATCTGATGGCTAAAAGTGGACACATTATATAAACTGACAAAGTTATAACAGGCAGCATGTGATGGAGACTATATGTCTCTTCAGTGGGGATGTGATGATTTGTCTGATCATGAGTTAAAGGAATTTGCTGGTCTTTTTTAAGCCTATATTTTGAACCAGTTGTTTCCTCCTGTCTTACTGTCTCACACACCATGAGCTATGAGCTAACCTAAGTCTGTGTCGTGACTCATGAGCCCAGTAATTAGGGCTAGTGCATCAGCGGGGCTCTCACTGTAGCTCCTTCACCTCTTCAACCTCTAATTTCAATCTGGGCTTTATGCTTTGGTGGTGCATCCTGGCAGTGTTACGTGAAGATTTATTTTAATTATTTCAGGGAATCAATTCAACACATTTTTTCTTTCATTTTACTCTTATTTGGTAATACTGTGGGATTACAGTTACAGGAGATGACATTTTGGACAACTAACTTGAGAAATGTCAAGAGGTGTGAGTTTTAAATTACTGACCAACCAGTTATAACAACAAGCAGAAGATAATACAAGTACAATATGAGTAAACCATAATGTAACCTTATCTTCATGTGACGCTCTATGACTTGAGTTGAGTGTAATGGCCCTCTGACATGGCTGGTCATAGAGCTGTGTAGTCTAATGAGCTTCTGGAAATAGGTGGGGCTCTCAGCTGGAATGTGGGCACACCATCTGAGCCCCTTACAGCAGCTGCAGGAGTCAAAGCCCTGAGGCGCAGTGTCATCTCCAGACAGGAGGGAGGACAATCTTACAGAAATGTGATTCACCCTTCTTTAAATATGAGCTGTTGATAGCTGCAAAACACTATGTGACAAGACTGACAGCAAGTCAGTTCCCTCATTATCAACTGGCCGGTTTAATGGTTGTGCACAGCAGCCTGATGAGTCACTGCCATCTGACGGGGTCATAACCAGTTACCTATTTGCCATCTCAAGCTTCCTCATTTGTGGGGGCACACATGAGAAACTTGTCTTGATATCATATCGTCATATGATCTTACCAAGAGAGTCCACAATGGATGTGGAGTTGACTTACCCTATTAATAGCCACCAGAATTTGTCCATACGAATAGATCATGAGCAGGAGAGGCAGCAGCAGGCAAAAGATGAAGAGACACAGCACATATGAGACACTGGCCACTGATCGTTGGTGCCACTGGACAGAGCATGTGGTGCCTGACCCCTCTGGCCCATAGCTGCTCCAGCCCAAAAACGGAGGCAGTGTCCACAGTAGAGAATAAAGCCAAGAGCCCAAAACGCAGAGCCGGGCCTGTCTGAAGTCGGACAGGTCCACCAGGGCACACCTCAGGACCGTGGTGTAGCGCTCGTAGGACAGCACAGCCAGGGACACGAGGGACACAATGCCTCATACGGGAAAAACAAGTCCAAGTTAGAACTAATGTTTTCAAAGAAGTATATTTGTGTAGTTTTCATCAGCTCTTGCCATGTACTTTGGCATGGAGTTCAAATTAAACGTCAATTAAGTCTTTAGCAAACTAGAAGTATGTTTTGCAGGTCTACCCTCCCTAAATAAAAGAAAAACAAAATAATAGGCTCCATAAAGCTCTAACAGTCATCACAGAATTGTCATCATCATGTCAAAGTTAGTAGCGTAAAATGCTGCTTTAAGTATAGAATAATGAAAATGATGTAGTTCATCATTCACGAGCTTTCTCTACAACTCACCAAATAGAGAGTTGGCGAATCCGTACCACTTACAGCCGACCTCCCCGATGAGCCACCTGCCGTAGAGACTCGCGGCGAAGCTGAACGGAGTCCCAAAGACGCACACGAGCACGTCGCTCAGGCTGATGTTTAGCAGGATCAGATTGATGGGGGTCCAAAGAGTGCGAAACTTGGCAAAGACGAGAAGCACCAAAAAGTTACTGACAAACCCCACTACCAGGATGAATCCGAGGCAAACCGCTACCACGTTGTGTCCGGTTTGGCTCAGTCCCACATGGCCCTGGTCTTTACCCGGGCTGTGAGTCGCGTCCTGCGTGCTGCTGCTCAGGGAGGGCTGGCTGTCTGCGGAGAGGTTGTAGCCTGTGCGAATGTGGACCACCATAGCAATGGGCAAAGAGGGCAAGAGAGGCGAGAGGCACATGGGTCTGCTGTGACCAGAACGAATGGGGGAGACCTGTGTGCCCTGTCAAGCTGTAAACACGACAGCTACCCTCCCTAACCAGACAGGACCCTCCATAGATTTTCTCAGCCTTTCTCAGCCTCTCATGCCTTTATCCCCAAATGCTTGTGTAAATAGATCAAATCACTTTTTTTTCCAGATGCTGCGTTTCAAGGCGATTGTGCTGAGTTAATTTCGTTTTGTGAATCAAATTTACGCATTATTCAAATTTCATGACATGTACCGGTCTGATTATGTGACTGTCCAAGAGGAAATTACAATTTTATTATCCCAGCGTTACGCTCCAGAAGTGCCCACTTTGTCCAATTGTACTGTTTTTATTCACAGTTTTGTTGTTGTTGTTGTTTTTACCTCAGCATTTTCATCTTATGAGTGATTCCATGGAGAGAGGCTACAAATGAAGATTATAAAACGCATTAATTTTGTTGTGCACCTCAACCAGTTTTGAAAAGTGCAGTTGAACACACACAGCACATAACCCTCAGGCTGCTGTCATTGTCTTATTCAGGTAAGAAGTGGTCATCAATGCACATGCACAACTGGAATCCAACCATCCATCTCTGGTTATGCCAAAGAAAGCTGAGGAATTAGTGCCTGATGCCTGAGAAATTGCCAACTGACTTTTGCTTTCTTATGATGTTCTGCCAAGGCCAATGTGGGTGAGGGGATGCAAAATATCTGTTTATGGCAAAATCACTACATGTTTGAAAATCAAGAAATCAAAGCAATATAATTATGCCTTATTTGACACAAGTCTTTTGCTATTTTTGCTACTTATTTAGAATTCATTATTATAATATATTACATTATATTGTGATATATAAGCTACTGTGTCCAAATAATTTCCCTTGTGGATCAATAAAGTTTGTCTAAATCAAATTATGTAAAATGTTCTGGGCACTATGTATGCTTTGCCTGGAATGTTTCGAAGCATGGCATTAACCTTATCTATCTTGCTTTTACTCAACTAAAGGTGCTGTATACCTTGGACAATATGCATTCCTACTGTGAGATAGAAAAATAGATCTAACTGTCTGAAGATAAATGGCACTAGGTGGCGCCTGCCTGGCTAGGTGCCAGACCCACCACAAGAAAAATTCCTTAGTGCACCTTTAATTTCATAGTGCCGAAGAATAAGTTATAATAACACACAAAACTGATGTTTACCTTTACCGTTGATTAGCCCTGTCCTTACCTTTAGTCATATTGATTGCACCGTCTTTATTGGCATACTGGAAGATATTGATCACATCTTGAACATGTCAGTTATCAATGCAGATATCATGGCCAATAGTTGCAGCATATTCTGTCATTTATCAATATTCTAGTAGTGAATGATTAGCTAAACAGCACTAGACCTTCCTAATTATTCATCATTAATGAAAACAATAAAAACAAACAAACAAAAACACCCGGTTCAGTTTATAATGTTTGTATTGATGATAATATAATGAGATATATATCCAACACATGTAAATTTAATAATTTTACACAATATATTACACAAGATAAATAGAATCACATTGGGCATCGTTACATTACATTTCTAATTACACAGTTGAGAATGTGTGTGAAGAGATACAATTGTGTAAATATAATCTCATAAACCCCAGTGTAAAAAAATACAGGTAAACTCTAAATACAGACAATATCATTAAAGGTGTACTATATAGATTTTCTGGTGGCAGGTGTGTCACCTCCATGGAGTTGTTATTTCTCTAGCATTTATTTCATTAAAGGTATTCTTATTGCTCCAAAATACCTTAAAATTACTTTATTGCTGAGAGCAGGGTTGATCAGATATATGGTCTGGCGGTGTTACATGCTTGTTTCCATGGCAGTAGATACGTTTAAAGCCAAACTGTGGAACACTCTAATCTAGACAAAGCAATAACATCTCCAAAGAGACCAGGGTTCCACCAGATAAATTACACAGTGTACCTTCAGGTAAAGTTACAATGTATTTCCTATTCACAGTGTTCAATGTTTAGTTTAATACTGTATTATAATTTACTGGCCCACTCACTCAGGTGGCTCAAACTAAATCCCTTCATCTTGACACAATATAAAAAGACCTACAGTGATTTACTGTTGGAATGTGAAAGCAGACAAACTGGTTTACCAGAGACTGTTCCCTCAAGACCTTGTTCCACTTTAGACAGGCAGGTGCTGAAGCAATGTTATTAGCCAGTCCGAGTCTTTGGGTTTATAATATGACATGTTTGTCAACCTGGGGATCCTCATGGTTCTCCTCAATACCAGTATAAATCCTTCTTATCTAAACGGCGTCCTAAAACATAGAAAGTCAAACTATTAAAAATGTAACCAACTTTCAGCAGAAAAAAAATGAAAACAAATACTAGTTTAACACAGTTAGTATTTGGTGTTTTCTTATCTCTCAGTATGCACATGTATACATATACATGTATATAGTGTGCAAAAGCATACAGTCTATTATACAGTGTATAACAGAGTTAACATGCTTAATACAGCCAAATTGAAGAAAAGTCTCATTCATTACATTACTCTTTACTCATTACTTTATCAGATAAGAGCACTTCATTACAACTTGGTATTAAATTTATATCTGCCAGACTCATATTAATGCACCACTGCCTTGTAATTTTAAAGAAAGTACTGTAGTTCCTGTCATCATTGAGGACAATTTTTGTCTAGGCAAAACTGCTCACTGACTTGTGATATAATTCATGTATATGTTAGCCATTTTCAAACCTGACTGATATTGGTAAGGTGAGAGTTGAATTACCAGGTTCAAAGACAGTGGAAGGGTCCATTTGTGGCATCATCCAGTTTGGGAGCAGCTCGGCTTTGGAGCTGGAAGACAGGCTGGGGGGCATATCTGTGCGGTCAGTGTGTAACAGATTGAGCAAAGACGCAGAGCAGTGCTGTGCTGTTGCACTAAGATCATTAGGGGACAGTGAACAGCCATTGGGCGGCCCTGCCGACCCCTCTCCTGTCCTGCTGGGAAACGTGTGCCACGGGCCACATAACTCTTCTGCAGGGTTAAAAGAAACAAGGTGCTCTGTTACCGGTCGAACCTGTGGCTCCGGGTATGTGTCTGCAGAGGTATTTTGAAAAACTCTGACATCCTCTGTAAAAGATAAAATACTCTGTAGGCAATAAAGAACTATTTATTTATAGTTTAAATAGAAAATACCTTTTTTGATCTTTTTGTGTATTTTCTTCGGTTTGCCTGCAGGTGCCTTTGCTTTAGTGGCTTTGTTTAGGGCTCGGCTAAAGTGTGCATCCACCATACTGCTGCTGTCTCCATGGAAATAAGTCAGAATGAGACTCTGAGAGTGCTCCTCCACCTTCACTGCTATTGGATTCTCTGTTGGGTCTTCCATTGGGTCATCTGCCACTAAAAAGGTCAGAAATTATGTATTATTTAATACATTTCTAATAACATAATTTAAGTTTTATTATGTACACTATTTTAATCACTCTATTAAAACTTTCAGTCTAGTCTATGCTGAAGAAAAATCTAGATATAGACACATGCACAAATTTAACATGCCAATTTTTCTTACCTGGTTTGATGTTTGTATAAAGATGAACCTAAGTGGCCCTGTTTGCCAACATGAGGAGAACAATCTATTGTAAATGTATCCACGTCATTAGTCCAATGGGTTCACACTCTTAAAGCTGAACACTGACTATATGGCTTACAGTGAAAGGGTGTGATGCTTCTTGTATGCAGACAGCTATGAGCAGAATGTTAACCTGCCAGTTCCTCCAGAAGCTAAATGACACCTTATAAATACATTCCTTTAGCTCAAACAAACCTAAATCCAGTTGTTCATATCTAATGGGACTAAAGGATATAAGCAGACTCTAACAAAGTTATGTTGGCATCAGATTGCAATTTTTATGACATGCACAATTACCAACAGCAATCACTAACACCAGGGTTAAATAAAGTTTTCAATGTGGCGAGAGACCCATTAGTACATGAAATCTTAGCAGGGGGTACTTCAGGTTGATGAAGAAATAAGTGTGTGAAAGAAGGTAACTTAGGTAGAGAGAGAGAGAGAGAGAGAGAGAGAGAGAGATTTGAATGATCTCTTTTATTATTATATTTATAATCTAATAAAGCAGAATAAGTTAGCTTTACCATTAAAATACATGTACAGTTTATGTTTAAGAAAATTATAAGGTATCTAGGCTATTAATATTGAAAATATATTGAATTTATATGTGATATCACAATAAGTTTGACTCATGGACTCTCTCTGCATGTTTTCATGTTAACTCGAGGAATTGGAAATCTTCCTGGTGCTGGTTGTGGGGGAAGAATCTGAGTCCAAGTTCACCAGATGTCTCTTTTTGACTTGGTGTACTCCCGTCACTGACTGAGTCCAGTCTGAACACATAACACAAAGACACAACAACTTAGTAAAAACTAAATTCCACTGCATTTCCACAGTTTTACTCCATCATCTACCTGAGTAATTGCTGAGTCTGAACCGGCCACAGCACAAATGAATCCTCCATTGTTTTCTTACGTTGTCTTTCATAAGACAATGGAACAAAAACACAAAGAATCCTAGGACAAAGCAGCGTAGTAATTAGACACAATTTCACACCATCTTTTTTCACAAACTTTGCTCCTTATTAAGCTAAATAAATAGGGCTGCATAATTTTAGATAAGATGGGACGAGAATAGGAACAGCTCAACTAATGCAATTTAAAAAAAAATTAAAAAAACACACACTTTGTTGTTTACAATTGTGATTTTGATTATATTGTGGAGCCGTTTAATTAAACACAGTGGTTGCATTTTTACCATGCAAGGTGTTGAGAATTGAAAACAGATACATCATGACTACCCGCCCAGGGCCAAATGAGAAGAAGCCCATAGACCAGGTGAGGCCCAGCAGGACGGTGAGACTGGCCACTGCTCGCAGGTCATTCATAGGGTTGCTGCTGTTTGCTGATGGTTTATTGAGCCTCATGCGCTTTATTTGGATGAGGACCACGATAAACACAGAGAGGTTAGCCAGCAGGATTAGCAGGATAAAGCACACCACTGTCACATAGTAGACCTCATCACTGTTCACCCAGCAGCTAGTGGAACAGAAACGACACTAATAATCAGCTCTTTCTGTGTTAGACTGACAATAAAAAATGATATATACACTTACAAGGGATCACTGGATTGAAGCACTGTAGTCTCTTGTGACACGGAACTTCCATAACTGTCTTTGTCAATAGCCAGCACCAGGCTCACAATGACCAAAGGAAGACCTGCCCAAAACAGAATCACAGTTGAATCTTTTCAAATGTACATTTATATACCTAATATTAATTAATTATCTATATATCTGATATTACATTCTTTCACTGTAAAAAACAACAACAGAGCATTGTACATCTTTTTTAATGCAGGAACATGTAAAATGCATGAGGTTTTATGCAGTTGCAGAATCCTGACGTGCTTAGCTCTTCTGTTAACGTGAAGTGGAACTAAACACCTAAACTCCACCCACAATCACATTTCAAATCAAGCTGTTAAACTGGTCAATACCTGAGGACTAAAGGGGAGAGTGACGTGAGGGGTGGAGTCTAGAGGTTTGTGATTGCTCTTACAGATATCTAAAACATGGCTGCAAATGTTCGCAAAACCACAAAAGTGCAGATATATCACTCTACCTTTGTTCTGAGAATTACAGTATTTTTTTTACATAGAAATTACGTAGAATTAGAATTATTATTTGTATGAACACTCTGATCATTTGTTCCGAGCGCTTTCGGTGAGAGCCATCCAAGAATGATGTCTAGAACTCTTCAGGGGGTTACACATATCAATCTGGGTCAGGTTAGTTATGTACCTCCAAAACAGCAATTGCAAATATTATACATTTTTCAATAAATCCTCATGTGATTCTGCAGTTCATTCATGCAGATAAAGGTAAAGTGTAAGTCTGTTAGCCCAGCTCCTGTAAAGTCCAGGCTGTACTTTATCTCTGAGTCTGGACTAAAATGTCTGAATAAAATTAATAAGAGTACAATAATGAATTCCTCACCCCATCCAACAGCACAAAACTTGAGTATGTATGAGGGCACGTAGATGTTGAAGACTTTAACCAGGGCCAGATACATGTGCAAAGCCTCCAGGCCCATCCATGTGAATGAGGCCAACAGGAAATAATGGAGAGTAGCTGCAGTGGCAATGCACAGACTGTAGTTGGAGAAAGATGAGAGCCAGCCATCAAGCAGGAAAAGCATACACAAGCCCAGTAGAGCTGCAGACAGGTTAATTAGGATCTTAGAAGGGTTGTCCCGACGCAGCTTCCTGTTAGAGAAAACTCTTATAGTTCAAAAGTACACTCCACAATCATAAACATTGTTCCCACTTACTCAAATGCAAGATAAGTGAGGAGGGTAACACCAAGGAAAATGGCTGAAATTCCACACCCAGTGTAGGAGATGATTGTCAATATTTGAGAGTCAATGTCACTAATGGGAGTTCTGGATACATCCTGTTAAAACACAATCACATACATGGTTAAATATATAGTATGGCTCCCCCTAGTGAGAGAATCAAAAAAAAAAAAAAAAGAATAGATAAAATATATAAAGATAAATTGTATTATAACTAGGGATGGGAGTTATTGAAGAAATGAATGCTCTTGGGAGTATCTCAATAGTGATTATCAGAACATATTTTCTGTAATCCAAATTTAAAACAGGTTTAATTATCAGATGAATCAAAAGGACTGAAAATGTACCCACAAAAGTGCAGAAATATCAAGTCATTTTCAAATTTTCATCATCAAAACAACATTCACACTACAGTGGATCATTTTATATATTGCACACCACTAATTCAAACAGAAAAACTAAAGAGCAGGAAAACAATACAATTAACCAGATTGCACAGTGTCTGTTTTGCACATGTGTGTTTGGCTGTTGCACAGTTAATGAACTGAAATCACTCACCAGTAGCACTGCAAAATGTGTGAGATGGTCACAGAGGCATCTGGTCTGATAGTGAGAGGTGGTCTGTGTCTCACAGCCCTTCTCGTTCCATCCGCCACGTCCACCTAAAACACACACACACAACATAGCAAAAGCAGCAAACATTACACTAGGCCAAGCCTAAATAACTAGCTCCAAACCATTATTCTGAAAATCCCAAAATACACAGTGCACTTGATCATCTGGCTGTGAAGATAGAAAAGCAAAATTTTTAAAATGATATAAATTTGTTTATTTTACTTGTTCAATGGTTAAATAAATGTATTACTTGTGTTGCTTTTTGATGACTAAGAGTCACCACAACTCTTTCTGATAGGTTCCGCACATTGCTATCATTTATACTGGCAGAAACAATGTAGGAATTTAGCATTCTTTCCCTTGTTGTTGAATTGGCTAAATAAGGATCCTATAAAATAAAGACCTCAACATAGTAAGCATTATAAACACATTGGTAGACACATATGTTACAATACAACCATACCTGAAAAAGTCTGTCTGTTGCAAAGAACTGGAATTGGAGACGTGTTGTATTCCTCTCTATAGAAAAGAAATTCTGAACTTCAGGTGGCACTGAGATGCTTGCCTTTATGTTTTGGATTTGATCACTGACAAACTTCTCATCGACAAAAACCTAAGAATAGCACAAAATTGTTGTATATTAACAAAGAGGAGATTCATTCATTTATTTTGGATAGCCCCTTGAGACGCATCATCTTTTATTCAAGGGAGTCCTTAGGGAGATGTTATAATTGCTTTGACTGAAAAGTTCAACACTATGCCAGTTAACTTATTTTATGTGTTGTATTTTTACTGTTAAAATATGTTGAAGAACACACATTCTAAAAGTGACTTGGGTCTCCATCTATCTCCATGGAAACAGATATATTTAAGTGGCCAGTTCAGAGAGAAAAGTTACATAGTTGCTTGTCCTTTGACTTAGTCTATTGTGACAAAGTCATTACTTACCTGTTACCTATTTATTCAATACTAAACATTGTGTCCTTGAAGCAGGTGTGAGGCTCTTATTGGTTTATATAGAGACCCACCTGTGGCTTCAGGTTTGTTGACAAAGAGGATACACCAAACGTGAGGCCACTAAATCCTTGTGTTTCCACGTTGCACAAAGAAAGAGCCACAGATGGAGCAGCAATAGTCTCAGCAGTGCCGTGGAAATCCAGAGTATCTCCCATCTTTGACGTCAGATTCAACACTCTTTTGAAAGTAATAGCACACAAATAATCACAGTACTCTCACACATAACCACTGACAATAGATCTTCTTCTCTTACACATTGGAGATCGTAGTAACATCTGTACTGGAAATAAGAATGTCAGCCACAATAGTCACAATGTTTGCTCCAAGCTCAGAGTTTGAGCCCACGTCCACTACTTCACTGAGTTTTCCCACCACAGTGGTCAGGTCATCGGGGGAGAGCTGAGAGGAATTACTGAGCTGCTCATTAACCAAGTCCTGAATGGTTTCCACAACCTCACCCGCATTTTCTGATCATTAGAAAAACATTGTTATAGTTCAATTGGAATATAGTACATGCAATATACATGGAATAGTCATTCTCACCTGTAGTGACAGTGACATTTTCTATTTGGGGTATGGTCACTCTTGGGTTGCAGTTAGTCATATCAGCTTTAGCCCATTTAGTTGTGTCAGTGCTGATCTCCAACTTACTAATTAAATCAAAACATAACAATTTAATTACAAAAATGTGCAAACACAAATTAAAACTATTCATTGTGATATGATAAAAATAAATACACTAAATACTCATTTGGTAATTGTCAGTTATACCAAAGCCTATATGCATTTTCTTGAGGTGGGTCTTGGCATCTCATGGTTTGAATGTCCTGAGGAAATGTTCTAGCCCAAAAATATTTTCCATAGATTGTAGATGTTCTCTCTTCTAAGCAGTCCGATGGCTCTGGAACACAGTGTGTAATAATCAAAGTTGGTTTATAAGATCAACAATTAATTGATTGAATTAATATAAATAAAAAATAGATACCTATGTGCTTTGTCTTCAGACTAACTGTTTGAAGAGTGATGGACTCATTTGAAAATAAAACATTCAGGGTGTTTTCAATATAGGTTTGAACCTCAGAAACACTGTAGAGGTAATCTTCCTGTACGTGGAAGTTACAAATGTATCTGTTCAAGGAGTAAGGTAAATCTTTAAAAAGGAGGTCATGCAAGCATTGAATCAAATATGGACAGAGAAGCTTGATTTCTTCACATACTGTTTTTGTTGTTCAATGGGAGCCTAGATAAAATTAAAAAAAACAAAGCATCAATCCAGAGGCACATATTGTTTAGTGTAAAATTCGGAAATTAAATATTGGGCACCTACCAAAGGCCCATTGTACAGGACAAGATTGCTGTAAAAGTACAACAGCACATTTTTAGTTGACACATAAAAGCTGTATATAATTTGTCTCCAGATGAACTGGACTTACCTGGCAGCAGTCCCTGATATTAGAAAGTTCAGTGCTTTCATGGTGCTGCTGTAAATCAACTTTTCCTTCACCTTCCCACAAATAACAACAAGGACTTATAATACTGGATTAAACAGCTTTTTGTTTTGTTTTTTCAAGGAGCTCTTACCCATGTCTTTATAAAAAGCAGGGGGTCTGAATGAAATCCAGTTATTCCTAATACTAGATTCACTCTAAAGAATATATCAGCTTTGTCTGCAACAGCAAAATACATTTAATGATGTCAAAATGTAAATGATCAGTAAAGACTTTTTAAATTTTACTCACCAAGTGTTTTGTTTATATCTACAGGCTCCTCTGTTGTGTTTCCAGGATATGCTGGCACACTTTGTGTTGGCCTAACCCCTGTATGTAATATAATACATATATAAAAAACATCATATAATGCTGAGAACATAGTAAACATATGGACGTACCTGATGAACTGACTGTGTTGACTGTTGATGGTCTATCTGTCACAGCAGGATATGAATCTGCACAAAACAAAGAGATGTGCTTAATGACAAAAGATCAAAATGCCCCTCCTCTGGTGTATAAAAAAAAAATCCTGTTTTTTTTTTTTTTTACCTTTGACTGTTTGAAAAAAATTGTCATTACATTTTATATATTTTTCATTCATTCATTTATTTCTTGTTGCTTTATCTGGATGGATTGAGTATTTTCTCATTCATGAGGGATGATGTGGTGATTAGTGTTGATATGTGACTTTATCTGTTTGTTGATCTGGGGATCTGTTTCTATGGTTTTATTATGTTCATAATACCAGAATTTACATTATAAACCCCTTTCCCTCCTTATCTTGATCTATCATCCGTAGTTGTTCCTTTTTTAGACAGTTTGACATATTGATTGTAGTTCTTCTGATCCTGCAGGTAATAGTACTCACCAGCAGATAACACTAGAATGCTCTCAGGGTCGGGCTGTGCATTTAGGAAGTCAGAGGCAAATGGAAAACTGAGCTTCGCTGTGATTTCTGCTTGAACCAGTCCCACATCAGCTGCAGGTTCCACTTTTACAGTGAGCTTGACAAGATAACTATTCACAAAATATGGTTAGATGTTTTATGTCATATTTTATGAGAATTTAATTTCTTACCATGTAAAGCCAATGGAAGTCGAGTAGTGTGATTCCTAAACACAGACAGAGACAAAGACAATTGCTGATCATATGTAATAATATGTAAGAGGAAGCCTTATTATAAAGATAATAGTTAAGACTCAATGACTATACCTGCCTTTGCTGTCCATTTAACACTGCTGAATTATTAACTTGTCTGCATGCATAGCTATATGGGAACACAAGTAACAATAATGTCAAATTGAAATCTTGTCAATACTCACCTCTAAATTGTACCTTTTATTTACAGTACCTTGGTGTGACATAGGTGTCAGAGATAGAAACGTTGCTTGGAAAAACGCTTTTCAACTGGAAAAAACAAGCCAAGAATGCACTAAATTGGTCGTCTGTAGAGTGTTATGTCAACCTTAATCAGATGATAAGTTCATACCCACTGCTCTGTAGCATTTCTCAAAAATGTAACTGAGTACATTCCACCAACATATTGATACAGAACGTTCATTTTGACCTTGTACCATGACCAGTCTGGAAAACAAATTGGCAGTTGTAGGGTTAACATTTACTGTAAGTATCACCTATAGGTCTTTATCATAACAGTTAGTTATTGTACAGTAAATAATAACGCACAGCAGATAAGCACACATGAAGCCCATAAAGACAAAAATCTAAAGTAGGGATACTTACTACATTTAAGGTGGTGGTCATTCGGAGGAGAGCAGTCGGACTTCCAGTGTCGTTCGTCCCAGCTGATCACATCTGCATCAGTGCATTCTTGTCTTTGAAGCTCTTCTTCACTCCACTGTTTGGACCAAATCCTAAACTGACTAATGTCACCAATGAGGCTGTTCCCATACTCTGGTTGCACTCCTTTTCCCATCACAAAGTGAGATCTCCCCAATGTGAGCGTTCCACCTGAGGCTAAATGAGTGGGGCTTTTAGCTTCTAAATATTTAGAAGCCACCTTAGTTCCATTAATATATAATTGCAATGTTTGCTGTTTCCCAGACCATGTAATGCAGAGTGAGTGCCACTGATTAAGACTTAGTCTTTTTACAACTTTTGTTTCATTTCCAAACAACCATAATGTGAGATTATCCTTTTTGCCTTGAAGACCAAGCTCAATGTAACTACTCTTGGGAGCCTTGTACACAAACGCTGTCCATTCTGTGCCAGACGCACTCCTCAACAGCAGGCATACGCTCAGCTCCTCCAGGGCAGGTATAACAGTGTCCGGGCTGAGCTGCCATAGACAGAAAGGCTTAAACTCCAGCTTCTTACCCCAAAGACTGCTGCTGCTCGCCAAGACCGCTAAATCAGAACAGATAGGCATGTTCAGACAGAGACACACTTACAGTAGCTAAAATGACATTTTAAATCTTACATGAGATCTGTAGGCATGGTAACTCCATACATATGACCAGTAAACACAGACCTCTGACAAAATGCATGACAACTAGTCTTGGCTAAGCGGTGATAAGACAGTTTACTGAAAAAGAAGGACAGTTGCTATTATCTAAAACTGAGTGTCATAAAATATTTGTTTGCACTTACCAGATTGACTTCCTCAAAATAATGGAAAATGCGGTGAATTACAGTCACAGGTAAAACACATATTTAGACACAATATGTTTTTACACAAACTGAAGCCATCAATATGTAAGTTCATGTCTTTATTCCTATGGAAAAAATGTTCCACGCCCTCTGGCCAAGTTACTCATTAATTAACCGCTATAAACATGAAACAAGGAGAAATGTTTAAACATAATCTCTTGTGTGACATGAGAATGACTATTGTAAAATGAGTTAAAATAAGTAAAACTTTTGCCCAATCTTTCCTCAGAAATGTTCATTGGCATCTACAGTTGCCTAGTAAACTTTGCAATACAGTGGTCCACACCTTTATTTGCTGAAATGATAATCATTTCATTTCACTGTCACTTTATTACTGATAAATTACCACAGTATGTGTAGCTAACTAGTAACAACGCAAGCTAAAGAGACAAATGACGGTAAACTGAGATCTATGTAGCCTATTTCACATTCTATTCTGTAATTATGTCATACTATCAGATGAAGGCCAAGAGCGGATTTTTCCCTGATTGATTAAATGGTAGAGCATTTAATCCATCAGAGAAGGAAATTGTTCAGTGATAGGCTACTATACCAAAGGAAAAACTGCAATTGTTGAACTTGGTCATGAATCATTTGTGATTATGCTATCATGCAATCTACAGTTTAACAAGAGTCATTTCACCTGTGAAAATTTCTATTAAACATTATAGAAAATTATGTTTTTATCCTAAATCCAGCTATTGTGTGTAAACACAGTCAAATGATGTCCCTATCTATTACTTTTGTTCCCACGTTATCAAAATTTCAACAAATTTAATTAGTTTATAGTGTGTGTTGATGGGGGATTATGACTTCAGTAGGATGTTTGCTTCATAAGGCCAGAAGCACAGCGGGGCCATACACTGTTTGCCAAAGTCACTATATTAGTACATACAAATAGGCTCATGTCCCAGGTAATTTTAACCGCACCCTGCCCAGCAGTGGTCAAGTGGGGTATTACAAGTAGTTTACGAGTCACAATGCAGTCTACTTTATAACAATGTGTTTCCGCTGGACTTACTCGTTTAAGAAGAGGCACGGGTTGGGCTTCGTATCGCGGGACTCATGGCATCCAGCTCCAGTGACAGCAGCCCCAAGTCTAATCCAAGTTCCAACCATGGCTCCAACCACACCAAGAACACAAACAAGAACACGGTTATTGTTATATTGTATTTGCATTAACTAGCATTAACAAAATTTCTCAAATTCACTTCAATCGTTTTATGTAACCTATACCCGAGGGGCAATTAAAAGCCTCTGCGACTTACATAATAGGCCTATAGGCCTACATAAAATCAATCATAACAATCAACAATCATACATTCAAGCTGCCTACCAACCTAACAGAACTCTTTGTGCACACTTTGTTGTTTTGCTAGGCTAATGAGAAATGAAAGGAAAACATATTAAAGAAAACGGAATCCAGATATTACACTTGAAATTGCGTCTACAGTACCACCTTGTGGTTAAATATACGTATTACAACGTTAAAGATAAACGCTCTTTCTTGAACACTGGATTTAATTGGTTCGTGTTAACGTGTTCACTTGTTTGTAACCAAAATTTTCTTTGATTTCATAGACTTAAAAGGGCATTAGAAATACTGTTCTATAGATTACTAATTAGATTTGAGTAAAAGTTTAGATTTCCGTAATGAATGAAAAAGGAATGAGATCACTGAGATGCAGTCTACATACATATGCTATTTCTGTGTTTTGAAAGAATAAATAACATAATATTGATAAAAGATGAATCTTGTTTCTCTTTCTATGAGCAAAATATGAGAAGGAGACAAAGCATGTTTTTAACTTATTCAATAGAGGCTATGGCTTGATCCTGAGAAGAGTAGACTCTTAACTGGTTCTGTGAAGAACTTATCCTCACTGGCCTCTTGATTCTGATGACAACAACAGAAACATGATGTGGAATTTGGGCTGTGTTCATTAGCTGTCCCTATAGATTCTGTTCCAGCCAAGACTCCGGACCTCTTCCAGCATACGTCCACCAACAGTATTACAGCAGCTGACCCAAACCACTACACTCCTGCCCTATCCTCAAGTAGGACTAGTTGCTAGGATATATCTATGCTGTTCAAGTGACCACTTAAACCTCTGGGGATGTGCTTTGAAGACACAGTTGTCAATCTGCTACACTGCACCTAAGGTTGGTCTGCTCCAGTGTTGCCAAAAGAGATGTTGGATTCAGAAAGTCTCCCTTTAATACTCATACAACATAAAACAATGAGTCCAAGGCATGCTTTAGGCAATACACCTCTTGTAAACTAAATAGGCTTTTCTTTGGGTCAATCATAGGCTACATGGTGTGTTATATTTCAACACAATATCCAAGATGTCTCAGATCATCTACCTTCATGCACTTTCTGTTTACCCTGTAAAACAGATGATGAGCCCTTTGGCTAAAGCATGTGAGAGAGACCAGAACAGAGGGTGTAGTGTTCAACAATAAAAGTAAGAGCCTGCAAATTGGTGTTATAGTCTCTCAAATGAAGACTGCAAAAAGATACTTTCCTTGAGGTACTTTGGACATTACTGGTTCTGAAGTATTCAAACTGGTAAGATTATTACAGACTTTTTTGTTCAATTTATATTCTTTGTTATATTGTTACTTTATAGACAATTGTTTGTTTGAAGTGTTCTTAGAATTTTGAACAACTTGTGATTGGAATAACACTATCCTGCTTGGTAGTTCTGGATATAACATTTCAAAGATACATTTCTTCTACTTTTCATTTGCTAATGATTTTGCACTTTGCATAGTATGACCACCTGTCCCTCTCTGCCACAACCATTTAGGCCTCTGCCACTCGTCCCACTTATTTAGAAAATGCCCAACCTTTTCATTGATGCCATATGACCTTTAGAGCGAGATTATTGTTATAACTGAGGCTTTTGGGGTTGTAATATGTTACTAATATATCTTTGTTTGAGTATCTATCTATCTATCTATCTATCTATCTATCTATCTATATCTATATCTATATCTATATATATATCTATATATATATATATATATATATATATATATATATATATATATATATATGTATGTGTGTGTATGTGTGTGTATGTGTGTGTGTGTGTGTGTGTGTGTGTGTGTATGTATATGTATATATATATATATATATATATATATATATATGTGTGTGTGTGTGTGTGTGTGTGTGTGTATATGTATATATGTATATATGTGTGTGTGTGTGTGTGTGTGTGTGTGTGTGTGTGTGTGTGTGTGTGTGTGTGTGTGTGTGTGTGTGTGTGTGTGTGTGTGTGTGTGTGTGTGTGTGTGTGTAGGCGGTCAACACAGAACACTAGAGGGAGTGCTTGGTGTATTTGACACGTCAGATCATGCTATTTGTGTCAAGCCATTGTTTCAAACATTACAGACAAGCTGATAATCAAGCAGTGCACATGCACATGCAATTTTTGCATGTGGCAGTGTTATACCCATTAGCTTATAAAACACTTTAAATAGACAATAACAACATGCCACTACAAAAGTTAATTTGTACATAGCCTGAAACAACTGGATAGTCTTTGCTATGTATATAAGTTCTATGTCGTTAATTTATTATCCTGTTATTTGAAATAAATTTATTCCCACATTATTTATGTTTGTGATTTCCTCCGGAAATGCAGCAGAGTGTGTAGTGTAGTTTCACTGACTATTTGGCCCAGTAAAGTCCGCACGGTCCACCCATAGATCCATGGGTCCGCCCACGGTCCGCCCCACCGTCCACCGGCTGCGATGTGTTACGCGCCCCTGGGTTAGAAAAAACAGGAAAGGAAAACTTCACAGAAATGGCGGATGGCGCTACAACTCTTAAAGGCTTGCGAGCTCAGATGGGTAAGGTTAACCCGGATCATAATGCTTGTTTGGCTCTATTTTATCTTGTAAAATGTCAATTACTCGCTGCGTTTGCCTGGCCCGTGCTCGGCTAACCGGGTCATTTGAACGCTTTGTAAAGGCGGTTAGCAAGTAGCCGCCAGATCGGTCTATAATGGTGAGGTTTCAATTAACAAAGACGAAAAGTTATGAATTCATGAGCCTACACGTGGTATTCTTTCATTATTTAAGTTCTCGTCGGTTTTAGGTTTGTTCGTCTTGTTTACATGAGCCAAAGTTGTAACTTGTTGTGTGAAAGAGCCGGTTGACATGCAGAAACTCGTCTGACTAGCGTTAGCTTACAGCGCATCACTTTATGACTGTGCGCCTGTGTCCAAACAATAATAATAAGTCAGTAATAACCAGGCCATTTCATCCATCAAACTCATCAGTGTATAATATCTGCTTTGTGCTTGTGATAGGCGTTTGCCCTCCGTGTATGTGACGCCAAAGCTACTACTGAATGAATGGAGACTCCGTTTGATAAAGTGAACTAACGTTATATTTTCTTCTTTTAAGAGCAGGCCAGATCATCTTGTACTGTTTTGTAGATGTTGATCTGCTCACAATGTTTATCACACCCTCCTTTTAGCATATATTATTCCATCTTAGTTTCTTAACAGCTTTATTCACGACCATGCATACTTGAACCGTTGCCTTGTGAGACATTTTAAGGAGGCCACGTCTTCAAAGTGATGGCCCATGCGTAAATGCAACAGTGGATAACTATTTGATTTGATCGATCAGCATTACACCAGTACAGTTATTTGTCAACATATGGCAAACCCCCTCCACTGCCCAGAGAGAGAACATCACAACAATGTCTGACCTGAATTTAAGATAATGCAGGAGAGACAGGCCTGTGACAGGACACTACTTGGTGGTGGTATAGCGACAAAGCAATGCGTATCCCTTGAAGTAATATGCATATTTAGTCTGGAACCTCTGCAGTATGACATTTTTGTCTAAGCACTGGCCTGATATATTGTTACATTTCTATATGCTCCTCTAGAAATACAAATATGTTTGGATCATTGATGCACTAATTGCTGTTTTACTTTTGGCAACAGTGTATATTTGACAGTGCTCCTCTTCCTGTTCCTAACTTTTTCAGAGTTTGAACTGGAATTCTCATCCACCCATACTTGTGGTTCTACAAAAATGTCTGTTCAGTCTAAGTTGAGGTTGTATTTTTACTTCAAGTTTCAGATTTAGCATGTTTTCTCCAGACAGGAGGGGGGGGACTGGAGCTGTACATAGATATTTCCACAAGAATGTGTGCAAGCTTATACAATGGAGGAGTCTGCAGCAAGTCACTCTGCAAGGCTGCCCTGGTCAGCTGTACTGTAGCTGCTGTTGAATCAAAAGCATGACAAATATTTCAGAGTTGGTTGAATTTAACCGAAAGAGGAAATGGACCTGCCTTAATTCTACACAAGGTCTTTGGAACTATGCCCTGAAATGCTTTCTTTTAGTACTACATGCTTTATTTTTTACTGATGAAATCCATTAGTCTGTGCACACGCTCAGATTTGAATTGCAAAACAAAATCATTTGTTTGAAGTTCAGACTGGCATCACAATATTTGAGGCTGTACTTAATATTTGTATTCATTCACTAAAAATGTTGGGTATTAGTTACACGTGAAGTCTTTTTTAAAGGTGTGAAATTGGACCTATTAGATGAAGGAGAAAGCCTGTGTCATCATTAACTTACTTCAAATAGCTGAGGCTTACCTTTGCACGTTAGCACTAAGTAATCCCACAGAAGCCTTGTGTGGAGCACGAGCAAATGAAACTACAGTAAATATGTTCGAGTTTAGTTTAGAGTTTAGAGCAGATTAATGTAGTTTTTCTATTGACTTTTGATTTTGTGCAGTTGGTTTGTTGAAATTGACTTAGGTAAATAACGTTCAGCCTTGTTTTTAAGTGCTTCTTTTTCAGTGACTGCAGTGTGCTCCATACAGCTTCAAAGCAAAGCTACATTTGAGTCCAAAGAGAATGCACCATCTAATTTCAGAAGGATTGACGTATTCCATTGTAACATCATAATTGCAATAGGTGTTTTAGACTAGAGAATGAGATGGCAGATATTTATCAATGATACACATTGTTGTTGTAGAGATGTGCAAAATTAGAAAAAAATTAGTGTATAATCACTGCAACATGTAGTAATGCAATATTGCAAGGGTATTACCTGGTTTCAGATGACATAACAATTTAAAGGCCAATAATATTTTATACTTATCCCCTCGTTTGGAAGTATGACCCCATTACAATCTAAAATATGAAAACTGACTAGAGATGTTACAATAACCGAACTATTGTGATATCGTATCGTCAAAAGTCTCAATAATATCGTGGAAGGTCACAGTATATCACATTACAAGTTCTTTTGCTTAAATGCATGGTTTTATAGTTGCAACAGCTTATGAACATCGGAAACTACATATTCCATGATTTCAGTGCAGACAACATGTAGATATGTTTTTTTTAATTGAATTGATGGAAATAATTCACACCAAATCTTCCCAATGTATTTTAAAAGCAAAAAAGTGTTTCATGTACAATTATATTAGCCTCTTCAAAATATCGCAATAAATATGGTACCGTGAGATGAATATCGTGATAATATCTTACCATGAGATTTGGATATCCTTACATCCCTAAAACTCACCAATAAAATTATTATTAGGACTGGCTTGCCTTGATCAATTACGATTTTCAATTTGATTTTATCTGACAACAAGCTTCAGAAATGTGTATGTCTTGATGTTTGCAGCCAGTGTAATTTTGGTATAAATATGTCCGTTAATACTATTATTCAAATACTAAAATATGACAACAATTTCAAATATTGATCTGTTGCAATTAATTGATTAACTTGCTTCAACTTCAAGTCAGATTTTTGTTTCCTGGGAAGCAATATCTTTTTCACTAAAGCAAGGAAAAATCAAATGATAAAAAATGGTTCTTGTTTCTTATTAATAGTGGACTGTGTGAAGGAGACAGTTGGATTTGTGCGTGACGAGGATCTCCATAGTGATGAAGTGATGTGTGAGGGCTCTTTGCATGTCTATGACCACAGCACACCTGCCCCATACAGACTACTGTTCAGTCAGCTCCATCAGCAGTCCTATCTGTAAGGGCTGGCTTCAGTACTGCTAATGGGGCTTTTACACAAACTCCTGCTCAGATACTGCATGTCACTGATATTTAACATGAGCATAAGTCTAGGCATCTCATGATTATTACTATGCTGTTCAATAAATTAGACATAAACTGGCACTCAATAGGCATGAAATATCAAAAATATCGTGAATGTTTTTCTGCACCATCTATAGTAGGTTTAACAGGTTTGTCAAAAGTATCAAATCAGATACAAACTGATACTAAAACTAATAATCCAAACTAGATACTCATTTGAGCAAGTATCAATATTGCAAAAAATCTGTCTTACGATTATGAGCTTTAGAACAAGTGAAAGACCTCATACTAAGATAAAGTATTATGATTTTGTATATGAATATTACATTCTATTTCTAAAAAAGGAAAATTTTATCTCCATTATGGTATCGTAGTTGGTATTGAGCACTGAGTGAATTTGTGAGTTACGTGACAACACTAGTGTACAGTGTATAATAATAAAAATTAAATCGCCCTCTTCCAGCACTGAATATTTTTCAGATTGAATGCATCTTTTACTTTCACTACGGAACTAATTGGTGCTATTGATATGTTGCAGTGTTGCTGGGGGTGTTATGCATATGCCTATGGTGGAATGTTCAGCAGTTTCCATGCCAACCACAGTGCTAACATTAGCAAACATTTTCAAAAAGTTTTAAGATAGTCTGAAATCTTAAGAACAAATACGAAATGTTTTTAAACCACACATTTTCAGAAGTCTGATCATTACGAGTGTTCATGGTCCTGTTTTAGTTTTTAACAAAAAAGGTGAGAGTGACTAACTGAAAAACTGTTGGCTAATGCTAACAAGCTTGTCACAGTAATTTTATGTGAGAGAGAGACTTGTTGAACAGCACAAATCAGCTCACCAGTTTTAGTTCAGATCTTTCTGCTCAGATGTTAAAACCGGCTCAGATTAAAGTCTAACTTGATTAACAGATCCAATTGTCAGACAGAGAAGAGCCTTCAGTTAGCATGACATCAGTTGCAAAGTATCAATATGAATCATAGATACTATTTACTTAACTGCTAACATTGAGCTAATGTGCCATTTATTTACATGCCAATACATTTAAATAATAATGATAATTTAAATGGGATTATCTTGCTTATCATAAGGTTGATGTTTTTGGTGGTAATAAAATGGTCTCCACCAGCATGTTTCACATGTACAGTGGTAAAGTTTGTTATGACTGGCCTTAAGTCGGGCATCACTGAGCTGTAGTCCTGTGATTACTCATTTATGACTTGTGCATTTGGATGTGCAGAGACGGAGGAGAGAGAGTAATGTGAGACAAAGGTTTTTGACCATAGGCAGAGCAAGGGCAATGGAGATACATGATCTGCTCTTCTCCTCATTAGATCACTCAGCTTTAGGATTACCCACAATGCTGTAGTCTGAGGTCACAGCACTTAACTTGGTTGTTTTTACCCCCTGGATCACATAGATGTACCACTAGAGTCTTCATACAATTCATTCATCCAGTTAATTGTAATTGCGTCATAATATTGAGCAGTATTATACAAATGTCTGTTGAGGGTCTTGCTTGAATTAAAATTGATATAGACTGATATCAGTTGGTCAGTATTTGCACTTTTTTAGTGTATCTGATATCTTTCTTAAACACTTCTCCTACAGAGGCCGATATTTTGTTTGGCCTGCTCTCTCATGCAGTTTGTTGTAAAACGAGGCTGTGGGTGAATTTATATTGAATTCAAATGAGGTTATTTGGGGAAATAATCTAATTTTAATTTAAAAATCAGCCTTGCCCATTGGCCCAGAAAGTGACACCTTAATAATTAGAATGTGTACCTGGATGAGCTGAGTGTGATCTGTCTGACACAGTGGAAAAGAAGGGAAGAGGTCCGGCTGACTCGAAGCTTCATAATGCTTCATCACATCCTCCTTGTTCCTTCCTGCGTCTTTCACTTCAAACTTCTCTTATTTTTTACATGGAGTTTGAGTGTGCTAAGGCGAGATGGTAACTGCTGCATCACATGAATTGTTTGCTACTTTGTATGATTGGGATTTGAATGAAAATGTATTTCCTTTGTGGTAACTGTCAGCAGGGTAGTTTATCATGCTCTGTACACACATTACATTTCATTTGTTGTTTGTCTGGTTAGTTTAGTTTTGCCTTGAAATAACTTCAACAAAAACAGTTTGCCTGGCCAACCAAGACTGCACACAAAGACACATCGTCTGGGTTTATGCCCAGAGTGCAAATCAGTGTGATTGACAGGCTGAGTAGCCAATCACAGAAATGCTTTTTGCATTGTTTGTCATGAGAAGCAGCAGAGGAGGCATTGATCAGATTGTGGATCCTTGATTAGAAAATACAGGGAGGAGAATCCCAGAGACTATAAAGCACCATGATACTTTTTTTGTAGAATACACTGACAAACTGCCTTTGCCTATTTTAGAGGGAATAACTTGTATTTATTTATTGTAATTTTTTTTCTCTGTAGCCCAGAGAGTAGTTTGCATGAGTTCACAGTGCTGGTCCTAAAGGTGTTTCACAGCGGCCTGTTTGACTGAGCTTGTGACAGAGTGCAGTGTGCTGGCTCCAGGCTGCACTGAGTGGGGTGTGCACATGGCTCAATAGCTGGATTGTTCAGTACTTTCAAATCTGTTGGATCTATCTGGGGAGCAAATGAAATATATGTATATTTTTAATAAAAATGTTGCAATGGTTGCAGTTCTGGTCTTTGATGTGATTGTATTTTTCTGCTATGTTTTCGTTTCCAGCTGCTGCAGCGCAGGCCCAGGCTGAAGAGCGGAGAAGTCTCACAGGCACCAGTCCTGTGCCTGCAGCCAACACCGCCGCTAAAGCTCAGGGCTGTAAACCAGGTAAAGTACGCACACTCTGTCTGTGCCTTGCTCCTGTCTGTGCCTTGCTCCTGTCTGTGCCTTGCTCCTGTCTGTGCCTTGCTCCTGTCTGTGCCTTGCTCCTGTCTGTGCCTTGCTCCTGTCTGTGCCTTGCTCCTGTCTGTGCCTTGCCCTGTCTGTGCCTTGCCCCTGTCTGTGCCTTGCCCCTGTCTGTGCCTTGCCCCTGTCTGTGCCTTGCCCCTGTCTGTGCCTTGCCCCTGTCTGTGCCTTGCCCCTGTCTGTGCCTTGCCCCTGTCTGTGCCTTGCCCCTGTCTGTGCCTTGCCCCTGTCTATGTACTGCTCTCAAGGCTTAAACACACTGTTGTCAGGCCTTACTACAGCTAGTCCTTAGTCATCATCTTATAACAGGTGACATGCCTCCGCAGCAGCACAACACACTCTGTCACTGTGTCTACATGCTCCTTTATTTGTCTGTACTTGTTCAGTTATTGACGGTGCCACATTAAGAATAGACGACAAACTGAGAGTAGCAAGAGAGAGAAGAGAGGAAGCAGAAAAACAACAAGGTAAGAATATACAACTAGATTTTTATTTTAGAAAGTGAACTAGATCAGTGGTCCCAAACTTTGTGTAGTGGTGTACCCCCTCAGACTTTTGATGTCCAGCGGCATACACCCATAGGTCATTCGGCATACACCTGGGGTATATTTTACAATCGTTTGGAAACCACTGAATTAGATCTAAAGTAAATTCTTTGTCCTGTTGTACAAAGAGTAACATTCTTTTATTCCCCTATTTTGAAAAAGCTCTACGAGAATCCCAGATTATGGAGCGGGAGCGAAAATCTAAAATACAAGTGGAACGTCAAATGGAAGAACGGCAGAAAAAAGTGGAGGAACAACGAAAGAAAGAAGAGCAGAAGCGACTGGCGGCGGAAGAGAAAAGGAAGCAGAAACAGGAAGAGGAAAAGGTGCTCAGCGCTCACGAGGATTTAACAAATATTTATCTTTTCACTGAATTATTTTTCATACTTTGAACAAATAAAATTGTCTGTGTTCTTAGGAACACTATAAAGCAGTGATGCTGAGGACACTGGAGCGGAACCAAAGAGTGGATCAGAGGCAGAAAAGGTGGTCTTGGGGAGGGCTCGACTCAGATGGACGAGCAGGTAAGAGGTTTTAGTTTGAATTTACAATTTTTATTGGGATTATTAGGTTGTACACTTGTGATGTCATAAGGTTATACTCTCCTCATATTTTAAAATCTATTTGGAGGACCGGTCAAAAGAGAAAATGCAGATGGCCATTACCAAGCTTTTCCACAAGAAAAACTGCCACAATGTCTGAATCTTTCATGGAGTTATACTGGAACGTGCCTGTCTGAAATTCTGATGTCACATTTTAGCATGAAACTAAAGTGAACATAAATCATAAATTATTTCCCAATTGCTTATTTGGACAAAATCTTTTCAGTTATAGAAATTAACTGGTAGATCACTTTCCTATATATTTCCTATATGTCAATGTTTTTCTTACCTTTACTTTTAGTGGAGGTTGTGCATCACCTACATGTAATTGCATTGTATTGTAGTGTTCCTCCCTGAGAGATTTGTATCCCTACAGGAGACTCTGATGCCAGCGCCTCATCTCCAGTAACTATAGTAATCTCCCCTGCCTCTCCAGAAAAGCCCCTGCGGAGTCGACAAGGTTTTATTTTGATAGTTTGAACCAGCACGGGCACTTAGACATGTACAGTTTCCTCACTGAACCGAACCCTCACCAGTTCTCTTCATTAACAGTTTTTCTCTGCAGCATGAGCTTTGGCCTGGGCAAATCTTATGAATATGCTGGATATATGCACTGTTGTTGTTGGTAGTGTTGGTTTTTGGTGTGAAGTGAGTTTTGCGTTGTTTGCAGAAGCCTAATTTGATCAAGAAGCATGTGACATGTCAGTGCTCTTAACAGTTGTCTTTACTAACTCTTAATACAGGAAGTTTCTGAAAGTAAACATGGTGCATTTCCACATGAATAGTCTTTTATCTCAACACATTGTTGGGCTATAGGGTTTTGTGTTTATCCTTGAACTGTATCCCTATTGTTGTGACCCAAATGCCCTCTCTATCACCCGGCCTCCAGTGTAAACCCTTCCTCCCTTGTTTGTCTCTCCTCCTCCTCCCTCACAGTGGACAACCGTTCCACATCCACCACCAACCTGAAGCAGCCGTCCGAGGCTGGCATCAGCAAACGCCTCTCCTCCTCCTCCTCCGCCCTTGGCAAATCTCCCGATAAGAGTAAGTCCTCCTTACCTTTGTGTTGTCCTTCCTCTCCCTTTCTCTCCTCAGTTGTTTTTAACCCTTTCAGTGTTATCAGCTGTTAGGCTGGTATGCATTAACAAGGGTCATTTATTGCCATTTTGAAAATTTTAAAATGTAAAAGCTGTAAATCTCACTAATCTGAGGTTACGTTGTTAGTGTTATCCAGCCTTAGAAAATCTGATTTAAGTGATTTTACTATTTCAGATTACATCCAGTTAGTATTTCAGTGGTAGTCTTATTTTATGTACTTGTGTGCCAAATTTGATTGCTGGGTGTTTCGTCATTGTGTCCCAGGTTTTAAAGCCAGAAGTTCATCTTGTAACCGGTTGCCTAGCAACCGTAATGCTGCACAGGTTACTAAGGAGGACGTCAAAAAACCTCAGGTGGAGCAGACAGGTGCAAAAAAAAATAATTTTTTAACTAACAACATCATATAGTCTAGCATATGCTGGTCTATAGCATGGTCTAACCAATCAGTTCAGACTATACATTTCAGTTTATTTTCTCAAAATATTTTATCAGTCTTGAATTATTTATTATCCTTTTGATATAAGTCTATATGTAATGGGTTTGGCGTGTTTAGCCATAACAATGTCATGTGTGTAGGCCGTTCCATGAAGATGAGAAGCTCCTCCCTTACTCGAGTAAGTGTGGCCAGACCACAAAGCCCTGCCAAACCTGATAAGGGAAGAACGGATGATCAAGGTGGCTGGCATGAACAATCAACCTTTTTGCCTTTTTGCCTCTGTGTTCAAGACTAGCATGCATTTGCACATGAGCTTGGCGGGGTTATTACACATTTTCTCAACACCTTTCAGTCTCATGGAGACATTACTCTTCAGATTTTTCATTTCAGATATCTTCCATCTTGTCTCTTGTCACGTTCCCAAATAATTGTGCAAGTTGATGTGCTTTCTAACATGTTTTTATCCTCAGTCCTGTGTTGCAATGTCTCCTAACACAGCATGGTGTCTTTTGTCACAAGGCGCTGATGGTTTTCTTTTTAGACAATGTCATTATTCTGCATCACAACTAGAGATGCACCGATCCAGCTTTTTCAGTCCTCATATCAATGCTAATGAGTCATTACCATTGTTTATTCATTAAACCAAATGAAAATAATTATTTAACTATTTAACATGAAAACATGAATCCTTCAGTATTGCCCACATTACACAGATAATCTATATTGATCTGGGAAATCTCTCTGAATTGGTCCTGATAACAGTATTGCTGCATCTCTAATCACAACCATTTCAAATTCACTCTTTCAGAACTAACAACAACATCTTTCTATTAACTCATTGTTCAATGTATTGTTTTGTCAAATGCAAAATGTGTTTTTTGTGATGAAACTGGGTAAATACAGCAACGGCAGCATAACTGCTAATTTCTGGCCCCTGAATACCCACTTACAGCTGCCCACTTTAGTGTAGTGTACGATTTAGAAAGCTTGAGTGTAGAAAAAAATATACACTTCTATATTTTTCCTTATCTGTGGCCAAGATTCAGCAGTGCACATTAATTTCTACATTCCTTGATACATTTGATTAATTTCACAGAGCAAGTGTATTATAACCTTTGGTCTGCTTCTCCCCTGTAATATGGTGTGTTGTCTTTGATGTTCACAAATGTCTCTCCTCCTCAGTTGTTAGTCAGTACAACTCTACAACTAAAGGACCCATTGATTTGACTTGATCATCTAATTCAGCTCTGTATTACTACTTTTAATATACTTAGCTTTGAAACTAAATACTCTTCCATGGTGTCCTTTCCCCAGCTGGAGTCTTAGGTTACAGTAAAGATATGTTGTTGTGGACACATGTAAGACTATTTTGATGTCTTGATGCTGAATCTGAATCTATGTTAAATCACATGGTGACCTTTTCAAAATTAACACACTTGTTTCCCTTGTCCTCTCCTTCTTTACCCCACTCTTTCTTCTGGGTCTTTTCTTTCTCTCTTTTTTGGGGGGTATTTCTCGGCCGTGTAGCTCGCAAGCCACCGGTCAGCTCTGTGGATGAAGGGCTTCTTAGTCGCCTGCTCACACCCACCCAGGCCTCACTAGCTAGGAGCAAGAGTGCTGCTGCCCTGTCCGCTGAAGGAACAGATTCTCCAGGTAACATCCACATAGACATATGAGGAGGGAGGATGGCACAGACTCCTGTTTGACAGATTATTTATAGTATAGTTTATAGTAGAGTGATCCTTTTTTATTTATTGCTCTTCTTCTTCTTTCTTTCACAATCTTAAGCAGTGTGGTAGACGTGTAGGGCTCTTGCTCTTGTTTGTTTGTGGTACACATGCTAGTCATTTGCTCTAAACTAGTGTCATGTGAGGCTGCATGGTCTGTTGGTGCAGACACATCAGCCCTCAAACTCACATGCACTCTGTGACTGGACACAACTGTGGATTCTGTAGTAAGAGTTAGTTACTGTGAGTTAACCTGTTGTGCCTGAGGAGGCTGACTGTCCCGAAAGATTTGTCTTAAGCTGCTTATGTGCGGGACTGTGGTACATCAGAATTATTCCATAGATAATGACACACACTTACAATGTTTCTTGGTAGCTTTAGAGGGACTTTTAATATATCTGACAATACTTTTAATAACTGATAAAACATGGTCATTTGTTCTCTGTAGGTCAGTTTTCTGTCATTGTAGAGGACCAGCCTTGTTCATGGGCACGTTTTGACTTGTGTGTGACTTCTGCTCATGTCATTTCTTTTGGCTGTTGACAGCTGCCTAAATGATCCAGAAGGTACTTGTGGGTAGGGCACAACAGGGACAGTTCTCCAGGTTAAGGATTATCAGGGCTAATCTCTCAATCTGACACAGCAGGCTTTTAGCCTGGAGACAACAGTGATTCCCCCTTTTACTGCTTATGCTGCCCTTTGGCTACAAGAGAACTGTAACATATTGTTTTTATACAGTAAGGGAGATCCATTTGCATTACATTACATTCATCTTTTACATAGAAACCTGTTGCCTCTGTCATAAGAGTAGAAGGTACTATTGAAGTTGATGACTCAGCGGACTAATCTGCATTTGTGTGTAAATGTGTGTTTGTTGTGTAGATCCTTAACTGAAGGTTGTATTTTCTTTGTGTATAGAAGCTTTGGGATCTTTTTGGAGATTTTATTGTGTGATTTTTTGCCCATACCAATCAGACCCATTTAAACCTGCTGCCTGCTCATGATGCTCTTTCTAAAAAATGGCTTTCTTTTTGTGCTCTTGTCCCCAACAAATGAACTTTCCCGCTACTTTCCATTATCCTCTAAACCCTTTCATATCCCTCTGTCTCTGGTTCCTTCCTGTACATTCCCTTTTACTCGCACTCTGCTGCTTTGCTCTTCACCATTTTTGCCCCCCTCCACTCCCCTCACCGGCCGTGCAATGACTTGTCCTTTACCAGAGTGTCACCTGTGTCCTCGCTCAGCCTCTGCCAGCCCACTGCACCCATCGCGTGGGCCCGTCCGGAGCCGCAGCAGTGATCGGCACAAGAGTGGCATGAGCACTTCTGTGTCTGCCGATGGAGCCCTTGACCATTCAGTGGTAATAGAACACTTCTGGTTCAATACTTATTCTGGTACTTTTTTTTGAAAGATTTTCCTATTTTGTGATCATTAGCAAAATGAATCCCAGAAAATGACAAAAAATGTTCCAACAAAATTGCTCTGCATTTAAATAAGTGGATGAAGCATTGACAGCTTGCCCATATATATTTATGCAAGATGCTAACTATAGGCAAAATGAATCAGAAGTTTAATGGGTTATTGTACAGTCCTGACAACACCACAGCCAGCACTGGGTTGTTACTGGGTAGCCTGCGGTGACTGGCTCCAGTGCTCCTCCTGTGCAGCAGAGAAGGCTCTCATTGTGATCGCGTGAGACAAAGGCATCACAGTGGCCTGATTAGAGACTGACTATGCAAAGCAGACCCAGCCCTGACCCATGGGCCTAATGTTAAGACCAATATTACATTCATTGCTACAGTATGTCATTAACAACAACAAACTTGTGTTTCTTGTAGTTTACAATTAGAGTGAAAATACACTTTATTCTTTGTATATGACATCAAATTGCATTTTGAATTTCTATTTACATTTTCTTACCTCTGCCTCCATTAAAGAAGAACAGGCCGACAGGAGCACAGCGTCCAGCCTCCCCGTCTACTTCCACACGAAATCGCTCTCCATCCCCTGCCCCCAATGCAGCTCCAATGAGAACTCCCTCCCCAGGAGCAGCCAAGTTAGTAAAACACTTAACACTGACACATATATAGAATTTTTTTTGTTTACAGTTATGTTGTTTGTTTTGTTTTTTTCTAGGCAAAATTCAAAAGCACGACCCCCTTCACCTGGTGCACTGAAGCAGCGCCCTCCATCTCCTCAGCCTATAACGTCCAAACCTCCACCCATCCAGAAACCAGCTCTTACACCAACAGGGCCCCCCACCCTCAGAAAAAGAGACTCAAAATCCAAGGATTTGTGCTCTGTTCAGCCTGTGGGTGCCCCATCACCAGACTCCAGCAAAGCCAAAGAGAAAGATGGTAAGCGATGAACTGTGGTTCTGTGAATAACCTCTTGTATACTTTTTAAATTTCAGAGGAAGATGTTGTATTCAGAAGGAATAGTAGCATTAGTGGAAAATATGGCTATTCAAGTAAAATAATGTCCTGATTTACTTAAAACATGGAGAACTAGCAACATGCTTGTGAGGTGGAATACATTCTTATTTAAATGTTAGAGCAGTTAATTTAAAGCTGTATACAGGTACAGTTTAAAATTGTGTTGATTCCACAATAGGAGTTGAAATACTATTTGTTTTCATTCCCTGAGCACACAAGGGGGAGTGAGGTGGCACAGCTCAGTTTGCAGTAAATCTCAAAGGAGCTGGAGGCCCATTAACCCCCAGCTGCAGACACTTCCTGTTTCAGACTTGGGAGCTCCCACATCTGCCACCATCTGGTCAGAGTGGTGCTCTGCAAGTGATTGTGCCATCAGTTGTACATCCAGGGCCCTGTATTCATAGCTGGTCAAGCTTTTCTTTCTGGGCATTTTAACATAGAGCTCTACTTTAATTAAAAGTTATGGAGTAGTTCCATTAAACCAGGGCTAAACCAGAAGGCGCCCCACTAACTCTCCAGTCTCTGTAGCCTAGTGCCCTGAGCTTAAGTTCTCATAAGAAACCAGCAGCAAATGTATTGTAATTAAACCCCTCAGTTTTCGGTAGTTCATTTTAAATAAACTCTTTTGTTTGTTTATTTGTTTTGTTTTGTTTTTTATTAAGGACAACAGAATATAACATTTAGAAAATAAAACAACAATCAACATTTAACAATTACAATATTCAGCATAAAACAAAGACAAAAACATAAAGCAACACCCACAACACTCATAACAAATACAAAACAACAACAACAAAAAAAGCTCCTCCATGTCCCCCCAACCACCCACACCGATAAATAATGTGATAGTGCAAAATAAATACACCGCAAGGCTCCCTCACATTGACACATTGCGGCCAATTCATAATTGAAATTCCCTTTTGTTTCATTTCCTTTCTTTTTTTTTTTTTTCCCTTTTTCCTCTCCCCCCCTCTGTCATTTTTAAATAAAAAAAAATATATATATATTTTTTAGTCCCTATACTTAAACTAATATTTACTTTTACCCATCCATCCATCCATTTTCTTCCTCTTATCCGGGGGAAGCAGTCTAAGCTGGGACTCCCAGACTTCCTTCACCCTAGACACGTCCTCCAGTTCCTCCGGGGGGGGACACCAAGGCGTTCCCAGGCCAGCCGAGAGACATAGTCCCTCCAGCGTGTCCTGGAGGGACACGCTGCGTGCCCTGTCTTCCCCGGGGCCTCCTCCCGGTGGGACATGCCCGGAACACTTCCCAAGGGAGGCGTCTAGGAGGCATCTGGAACAGATGCCCGAGCCACCTCAGCTGGCTCCTCTCGACGTGGGGGAGCAGCGGCTCTACTCCGAGCTCCTCCCGTGTGACTGAGCTCCTCACCTTATCTCTAAGGGAGCGCCCAGCCACCCTGCGAAGGAAACTCATTTCGAGCGCTTGTATCCGCGATCTTGTCCTTTCGGTCATTACCCAGAGCTCATGACCATAGGTGAGAGTAGGAACGAAGACTGACCGGTAAATCGAGAGCTTCGCCTTTCAGGTCAGCTCCCTTTTCACCACATCGGTCCCATACAGCGACCGCATCACTGCAGACGCTGCACTGATCCGCCTGTCAATCTCACGCTCCGTCCTCTCCTCACTCGTGAACAAGACCCCGAGATACTTGAACTCCTCCACTTGAGGCAAGGACTCTCCACCCACCCGGAAAGGGCAAGCCACCTTTTTCCGGTCGAGAACCATGGCCTTGGACTTAGAAGAGCTGATCCTCATCTCTGCCGCTTCACACTCGGCTGCAAACTGCCCCAGTGCACATTAAAGGTCCTGGCCTGATGGAGCCAACAAGACAATATCATCCGCAAACAGCAGAGATGAAATCCTGTGGTCCCCAAAAAGGACCCCCTCCCACCCCCGACTGCGCCTAGAAATTCTGTCCATAAAAACAATGAACAGAACCGGTGACAAAGGGCAGCCCTGGCGGAGTCCAACATACACCAGGAACAGGTCTGACTTACTGTCGGCAATGCGAACACAGCTCCTGCTCTGGTCATACAGGGACCGGACAGCCCTTAGCAAAGGGCCCCGAACCCCATATTCCCAGAGCACCCCCCACAGGACACCACGAGGGACACGGTCGAAAGCCTTCTCCAGATCCACAAAGCACATGTGGACTGGTTGGGCAAACTCCCATGAACCCTCGAGCACCTGACGGAGATTGTAGAGCTGGTCCAGTGTTCCACGGCCAGGACGAAAACCACACTGCATTTACCTTTACCATTTTTACTAAATACCATTACCATTATTATACCATTACTTTTACCATTTTTATTATCATTTCCTTTTATCATTTTATGTAGTTTATTACAAACTCAAATCATAATTTTAAGGCATCTCTTTTTTTTCTTCTTCCCCATTTTTAAATACATTTTTAGTCCCATACTTAAACTAATATTATTTTCACCATCATTTCCTTTTCATCATCTTTCACCACCCGTCACAATCTCAAAGCATTTTTTCTTTTCCCCTTTTTTTGCATTTATTTATTTATTTTACTATAAATTGTGGATATATGAATAGTATGTATGTCCCTACTTTAAATCCTTATGGCCGACAACAGTTTATATGCTATATTTAGCATATAAATACACAGACTAATTTTCTCACAGGTATTTAAGAACTTCCCAGCTCTTTATACTTTTTTTTTTCTCTTTGTCCGTTTCAATTGTATAACCTTCCCAGGTTAAGTATTGGTAAATATATTTTTTTAAATAGTTAATATTAAGTGAGAATAGATTTTTTGCTTTGAAAATAAAACATTTTCCTAGGGTTATAATTAAATTGACAAGATCACTTCTATTTTCAAGTCTCCCAGTAAGGCAGAAGCTAAATCTAATTTAAAAATCAAACCTAACTCTAAACATATCTTCTCTACCTCCTCCTCTACCAATTTTGTTGTTTTTAAACTATAGATGCAAAAGGTGGAACAGGCACTAACACTGCAGCTGAAGCTGCCAAGATCTTGGCCGAGAACCGCAGGCTGATGCGGGAGCAGAAGGAGAAGGAGGAGCAACTGAGGATACAGAGGGAAGAAGAGGAGAGGTAAGCTCATTTGTATTCATATCCTTTAATATTCATGTATGACATCACACGCACACAGCTACAAACATTTAACATTATTTTTTTCTCAGAGTCAGATTAGAAGAAGAGAAGCGATTAGCCGAGGAGGCCCAACTGAAGCGGCTTGAGGAGGAGAAGCAGCTTGCAGAGGAGCGGAGGATCAGAGAGGAGGAAGAGGCTCGTCAGGCTGAAGAGGAGAGAGTGAAGGCAGCTGCAGAGGAGGCACAGAGACAGGCTGAGCTCCAGAAAGAGAAAGAGGAGGCAGAGGCCCGGGCCCTGGAGGATGCCAAGAGAGTTCAAGAGGAGAGGGAGCGTCTCATGCAACAGAACCAGCAGGAGCGCATGGAGAGGAAGAAGGTATGAAGTAGCGTGTAGCAACAGTAGTGGAGTGTTCGTCCGATCCAAAGGTTGCCGGTTCAATTCTGAATTCAAATTCATCACAGGTTGGGGGTGTGTTTCCACCTCCCAAAAATGAATGCCTCTGTGTGTGTGCATGCGTGTGTGCGTGCACATACAAATAGGTGAACTGGTTCCTTGATGTAAAAAGTTTTGAATGTCTTTATTGTGGAAGAGCACTATATAAAAATATGACCATTTACAAATTACCAAGTAATAGTAAAGTCAGATCACTAAATATACCGTTGTGTTTTTCCCAGAGGATTGAAGAAATAATGAAGAGGACTAGGAAAGGAGATCAGAGTGACTGTAAGGTTAGTCAACCATATTCAGTTTTTGTATAGTATTAAAAGTATAAAAAGTGTACTCTTAAAATGCTTGTACAAGTGTGCTTATAAATAACTTGAGGGCTGTGTTTAACATCATCCTTTGTTTTTGTAGAAAGATGAAGATAAAGACATAAATGGAGATGTAGAAGATGTAGAAGTCCAAGACCAGGATCTGGACCAGGACTGTGAATTTAATGGTAGGTAAAGATGTGTAATTGAGCATATACATAATTATAAAAGACTAATGGTTTTCTGTGGTGCATCAGACACCAGTGAGGCTTTAGCTGAAGCTGAAAAAGCTGTGTGTGAACTGTCTTCTGGAGAGCCCATACCTCAAGAGCCTGTGTGCAGTGTGAATGGAAACCCAGAAACAGAAGACAAGGAGAATAACAACGGTCTGAGCACAGAGGAGCTTCCACCTGACAGGTACGACAACATTAGTACTAGTAATGCACCATTTAATATGTAATTATATGCTAAATAAAAATGATCATTTGAGCATTATTTGTTTTTGTGCATATTCATAAGAAAACAATTAAATTAAGGACTTGTTATTTACTCACTTCTTTTCCAGCCTTGTGCCCAAGACTCGTGTTGTGGAAGGCTCGGAATTTGTGAATGAGCAGGACTCAGCCATTGTCGTCTCCGGTCTCAATGGAAAGTCTAACCAGTGGAGCTTTGAGGGCCTCATTGACCTTAATGGTCACAACAGCCGTCCCCTCATGGAGGCAGGGGACTGTAATCAGGTTTTACTGGACTGTGGTGGGACCCCTGATGGGAACAGGGTTACATTTGAAGACAAAACTACTCCTGTAAACACAATTCATTCCTCTAATCAGCCTGTTTAGCTCCAGGCCTCATCCTTTTTCCACTGTTTGGTTCTGAAGGACTAAATTCCTTTTCTTTGTCATGTTCAAGTTTAATGATATTTTATAATAATTTTGTTTGTTGGGGTACATTAATGTAACTTATTAATTTTGCTGTATTTGTTATAGTTAATGCATTTGTATAATACGATTACAGACTACACATTTATCATTTATGTACTGAGGCAATATAAACTAGAAGGACTGATAAATGTGCTGTAATCTGAGTGAAGGTGGGCTGCGGTCCTCCCCAGTTTAGCATGTGATCTATGAATTACTTGACCAGCTGTTTTCTGCAGCAACCAGATGTATGGCCTTATTGTTTTCTTATTTTCCAATATTTAAAGTTCAATATTATATTGTTTGGGTTGTTTTAAACTTCACACCACACTCTACCATCTGCTTAGAGTAGACCCACTATCCACGTGATTCATAGCTTTCCAGACTTTATTTTTGTGATTCCTCTTTTGGCCACCAGAGGCTCTAGCAGCACAACTGTTACAAACCAACGACTAAAGAAAGCCTGATGGAGGTGTTTGGTCAGTGAAGTTTTAGCAATTAGTTTCAGTAAGGCTTATGGTCCTTTTAGGTTTTATTTGTTTAGGTGTATGTTTACTAATGGAATTACTGTACATTTTGTAACTGAATTTCAGCTTGTTTAAAGCAAACATTTTAAAACTAAAGCACAATTTCCTCTTTTGGTGAGGTCCACTAGTTTCACATTGTTACAAAGCTGGACACTTAATCACAGTGTTCCAACCAAGTGATATGCCTGTAGGTTGTATGTTCTGAGTTCTCATAAAACTTAAGAAATCCCAGTTCACTAGCTGCTACTAACAAACCGCATTTCAGCCATTTAAATGTACATAGCTACATAAAATATAACTGATGGTTGACCGATGATATATGAAAATGCAAGTCTACATATTTAAATGTTTTTGTATTGTGCATAGCCAGTATTAGGCCAGTGGAGCCCTATTGGTGATGGAAGGCTTAGACGTGAATTTGTGAAAAGTTGGTGTCAGAAGGTAGCTGTTTGACTCAGGCCTTGTGTTACGGCATTCAGGAAACTTTTGTCAGCCATAAACCCCAACTTGTTGTGAAAATAATATTTGCTTGTTACAGCAGGGCTGGTGGTAAAACTTGATAGGTGTGGACCTAGATTTCTGCCTTTTCAGACTTAATTTTTTAGCCTTGAAAAATGAGCTCAAAGAATGTTCAGTCGATCTTTAGTTAAAAAAAGTCCTCATACCAGCCCATTTCAATTTGTAACTAAAATAAAAAAATGAAATTTATATGTGCACCAATGTTTTCCAAGCCCTTTTTATGGTTGTTCCTGGAGATGTTCTAAAATGCTGCTTGAACAGATATTGTATATATTCCCAGCCTGCTGCTTATCAGGGACCTATACTCATAAATACTATGACTCCTTCCTCTCAACATTACACAAGAACTGTGTCTTAAAGATTATTTTTATTATAATATAGTTAACAAAAAATGTCTTCACCTCAGCCTCGACAATCAGTCCACCTAAGGAGGGCACCTTTGAGTCTCCATTCCCCGCCCTGTTTGTTAAGAGGTTAAATTGGACTGTAAATATGTTATTGAAAAAATTCAAACTGTTAACAATAAAGACTTACAAATTAGAACTTTGCCATTTCTTTATTTTCAGAGCGAAACATCTGAACATTTTTATTTGATCCTTTACGGATTGGCAACATTCAGAGGCAGTGACTCTTTTTAGCTGGCATGCTTGATTTCCTGTAATATAGCATCTGCTCTCAAGCATTTGTAATCTGGATTAGACAATATTAATGTGCAGCAAAACCTTCTATTTACATAATGTATACATATGCTTCAAGCTACTGAGTTCTGTCTAAAACTGCCGGTCTACAATTATTAATGCAACCTCAGCATATTCCATAGCAGTACTACTGTTGCCATGTGCATGATCAGGTTTTACAGTTTCTTTGCACAGTCGGGGCAGTAAATGTGGTCACCGTTGATGACAAAGCGCTTATTGGCCAGAGAGGGAACACTTCTTGCAGTTGAAGCAGTACTCATGCCAGGAGTAGCCCTCGTAGTTGACCACATTTGTGCCATGGCCGAAACCTAGATTTAAAAGCAATTTAATAAACATTGATATTTTATAAACATGTCTGTCCAATCAAGTACACAGATGTAATCTATGAAGATTGGGAATAAACAAAAACTTCAGTTTTGGGGATGCTCAGACCTACTCATTAAAATGTAGCTTTTCATTTTCCCACCTTTTTTATAACTGCAAAATACTTGGCTGGGGAAGAATGTTCTGTACACTTGATGATCAACACAGGATCTCCACAGTGGTGTGTACTCTCTCCACTACTATTCTCAACAACAGATCTTGGGCACCAATGACTGTCTACGACAGGGAGGTGCCCAGCTGCTGGAGCTTAATGCCCAGAAGACAGTGGAGATGTTGAGGATGAACTCAGCCCCTCTGATGTTTGTTTTGTATTTAAACTGTTCCAGATTTATATGTTGATATCTTGCCTTATAATACAAGCTAATTACATTTTTACGATATATGTAAATATTATATAGTTACACGTGGATTCAACCACCCCCTGGTCTCACCTGTTATTGGGTTCTTGCAGCCATGGCATTTCTTGGCCACATCTGTCTTGTAGCAGTCAACGCAGTAAACATGGTTGTCATGGGAGGTGAACCGAGTCCCTGCCAGAGGTTTACTGCAGGTGCTGCACTTGAAACACTCCGAATGCCAGGGCTGGTCCTGATAGCTGATGCCTCCAGAGGTGATGGGCTGAGGAAACAGAAAATCCTCTTGTACCACTAATATACTGAACATTTTAATGGCTGGTGAACTGTTTTGGTCTGTGTACCTGCTTGCAGTGGTAGCACTTCTTGGCAAACTTCTTGTCATGGCATGGAGCGCAGTAGATGTCATCTCCTTTAGCCAGGAAGCTCTGCGTGCGGATTGGCTGCTTACATTCAAAACAGGTGAAGCAGTCCTCATGCCATACTTTATTCTTGTATTCCACATTCTGGGATCCTGAAACACACGTTTATATAAAGTACTAATTGGTAATACCAAAAACATTATTTTGAGCAGAGCAATCTACATTGTGTTCAACCAGATAGCATTCATGACTGCAGCATGTTACCTGGCATCACCACCTTGTAGCAGCCCTGGCAGCGGTTGCCATCCTCCCTTGAGCTGCACTTGCCGCACATGATCTTGCCATCGTCCCGGGCACAGAAGGGCTCATTGGCCAGGGGCTTATAGCACTTGGCACAACGGAAGCAATCCTCGTGCCAGTGGCGGTTTTTATGGTGCAGCTCCTGAAAGCATAATGTAATGTAAAGTGTAAACAAAGAGTAAAGTCTCCCTTAATTAAACTGGGGTTTGCATTGTTCATGTTGTGGAGTCAGACTCTGGGTCAGAAAGAAGATGTGGTGATCCAAGACAAGTAGATTGAGTGGGTACGAAAGTGCTTACTGACCCCTCTTGGCCTTATGCATCTTACTTAGCTAAAACATGAGGTACAATACTTTGATTGCAAGACATTCTCGCTGCCTTGTAAGGAGAAAGAATGCTCTAAATGTGGTAAATGAGCCGGACTGGACCTTGGCATCAGCTCCGATGGCACGTTTGCACTCAGCGCAGGTGTTGGCACAGAGCTTGTCAAAACACTTTGTGCACACGTGTTTGTCATCCTTCTTCACATACTTCTTCCCATGCAGGTTGTCCCGGCAGTAGTAGCAGTCAAAGCGGTCTGTCATGGTGGAGCTCACGTAGTGTCTAGGGCCTGCCAATGTACAACAACAGAGCGTGGTTTGTATTCAGGGTTATCTCAAATGATTAGTTTGCCTAGGATGGGAAATTTACATAAAAAGACTTAATTAGCAAATCAGACATAAAATTATCGCCAAAATGGGTGTGTCATAACAGCAATATGCAATTGTGGGAGACGGAAATGAGTTGCCTATCAGTGGGAAAACACTTTTACAGAACCTCTGCAGATTAAGCCTTATGTATATACACCACATCATCCTCTGTGTTCAACATTCATAGCTTGACAATGACTCATGAATGATAATAACTTCAAGTATGTGTTGGATGTGTTGGCGTTATAGCGTTTCAAAAGCATAGCAAATTTTCTGTATTACAGAATTTTATAGACAGAGGAACAGGTCCCATTGCTTTAACGAAAAACTCTCCAGCTGCAGCTATACTGAAAACTGTCCTTTTATATTATGTTATAATATTATAATTCCTGAACACATAGTTTTCTCCTTAAAAAAAACAAAGATACATCATCTACATGAGCATACTACACAGATGAGGTATGTGTGAGTAGAGTAAAGTGCACTCATATGAGCCTGTCTGCACGCCTCCAGCTTAAGTGACTTTTATCAAGCCCTCCCTGGAAAAGCTTAGGCCTTATTTATAGACTTGTGTATCTGCATTATTCCCCCACACAAAGAGCAGACTTCAGACCTTCTGACACTGTCCAACACAAAATGGAGTCTACATATTTCATGTGGGATTGCATTTTTTTATGAGTCAGTCTAAACACAGAGATCTGGATTGCCTTGGTTTGTTCATTCATCAGCATTCCTGTGGTCCCATTGGAGTGGCCTGAGTGGTTTCCTGGAACTACTCTAACAGCTTATCAATGTTGTAGCTGAAAAATGTTCACACTGGAACATGCTCAAACGGGTCAGCCAGACGATACATAGCCAAATATATTAAAACAATAGATAGAATTATTCATTGGTAATCAATAAAAAATGTGAACATAATTTAAATGTCATATATTACACAAAATTGACTCGTATGAAACTTTAAGCCATGTTTGAATGTCTGGAGTTGAATATAGTTTTATTCACACATGTCTGAGGAACCCTTTAATGATTAGTCTACAAAATGCTGTGTTCCACCTTGTGATGTTATGAAGTGGTAGTTATTAAGTTAACAGTTAACTTTTACCTTTAGTTCAGTAGAGATTGGAAATTCCAGGGTTGAAATTATCCAAATGATACTAATGAAGGTGTAAAAAGTTTTAAAACACAGTGGAGCACTTCCTGTATTGCCACATGACATCACAAAGTGGAACCGTGTTTTCAGTTTGAGAAAAGAACACAGCCTGAATATGTAGGGTTTGTGTGTGACATGTGTAAATCAAATAAAACATAACTCCAGGTATGTTTGTGATGAGGAAACAACATTAGAAAATAAATCAGAAAATAGTAATAGTAATATGGGCCCTTTAAACCTAAAAAAAAAAGAAAAAAAGAAAAAAGCTAATTTGAATTTTTGTATCACAAATGAATTACTGTTTCTGATAAACACTGATATATCACTTATAATGGCTCAGAAATGGTGATACGCATCTGGTTAAATGAAACAAGCACCCTTTTGTTTGGGGTGCTCTGATCTTCTGTGTCTCAATAGAGACTCTTAAACTTGCATAACTCAGATAGCATGGTTCAGAAGTCTATGTCTATGAATACAGTGTGAATAAAAGGTTCTTTTGTCGCCCTTTTATGGCTCTGTCCCAATGTATTTGAAACCTGACATCCATCAGATTCACCATTTGGTAATTACATTCTATAATAAGACCATTTAGATTCGAGTAAATAGTTCTTTTTTTAGAAACATAGTGGAAATATTTCTAAGTGCAGCTATTTTGAAGAAGTATACACAGCTTGTATCGGCAGCTGTGCATCAGAGGTAAAAACTGGGGCATGCCACACCACTCTCAAATCTGCCCAACTTAGTCCATGTATCAATCCAAGCAGTCAATATTATCCAGCAGGCTCTATTTAAAGTACAGTGACCTTCCATAGCCCGGGGCAAATGAGCAGAAGACCAGTGGGACTATGTAGCTATTGTGGTACGATGAGATGTGGAGATACGTAAAGCTTTTGTTATGACAGCTGCCCCCCGCTCAAACAGCCATGGTATGTACCCACATTCTGCTCTTTATGGACAGGGCTAAACCACTTTAGCCCCACTGGGAAGTCCAACTGGAAGATGCAAAGGTCAAAGGAGGATCAGTTATGGAGGTGAGTCACAGCTATGGAAGAGATGGGATTAAAGGCGCCATGGGAAGATCTGATGCAGCCAGCAAAGTTTCTTGGTCTACAACTGGACATCAATAGCAACAGGGCTACAACAACAACAGGGGTGGGATTAGGATGAGTAACTACTGTATTATATAAGATTGTTCTAAAAGTGTTTGTTATACTGTTGAAATACAATATATATCATTAATGAGGGACTTCACCTGTTTTACTCCATAGATCATGCAGACCATCAGTAACAATTTGCCTATAAAATCAGGTATTCCGTGTGTGATTTTTATTACACTGTTGGGGGTTTAAGACGCAGGTCATATTTAAATGATGTATTTCCATATTGGACAAGCTTAGCCCTTGTGCAAAACAAAAGATGAGTTAGTTCGGTTTGTTGCACTGCAAAAAAACAAAATCTATCCAAGTTAAGAGGACATGAATTAAGAAAGTTTTATCATGATTTGAATAAATTTCACCTGACGAGTAAAATTATCTGCCAGTGGAACTTTTTGTACTTAAAATATAAAAAAATATCGTACTACACTTAAAATAAGGAACAAATTTAAATGTTGCTTGAATTAAGAAAAACACACTTATTCCACTTTTACCTGTCAAGTTGACAGGTAAAAATAAAATAAAGCAGAATGATCTCAATTTAAGTCATTTTAATTTAGCTATTGTTTTTTTGCAGTGTGTAATCGTAATTAAGAGGAGAGTTGGAATACGGTAGGTCAGACCTGGGCACTGTATGGCTCCTGAGTCACATACAGCCCTTTGGTTGACTCTGATCGGCCCGTTTAAGATTATTTGAAATTATGAAATAAACATATTTTATAATTTTAACTCATAAATGGACTAAAGCTGCATTGCTTTTATTTTAGAGGTGTTTTTATATGGTATTTTTTGTAAAGCAGCCTCATTATTTCATTGCCTCATCATAGCATATACTTACCAGAAGTCAAAACTTCTGCTTTTTATAAAGAAATACAATTAATATTATACAGAATTGAGTTAAGCATTTTGGCGTGGCCCTCCACAATATTTTCTGTTTCTCATGTGGCCCACGGAAAAAAATAATTGCCCACCCTTGTTGTATGGCAAAAAACATTTCTTTTTTTTTTTTTTTTTTTTGTGGTTTTCAGATTCTTGAATGTTATGGCATACTTCTGGTTGGTGGGCAAGAGCCAGATTTGCCATTTGATTGTATTGTACTCTCCATGAAATATCTAAAAGGTAAATTCATAAAAGGTGACCATGATGATTGCTATTAGAAACCTAAGAACTCACTACATTTCAACAAAAATCTCATCTATCTGTATTAATGGATTATGGAATGCTGCGTAATCTGAAACCCAGCAATATTTTTTATCTGGGTTTTCAGTATTTACTTAATGAACATAAACTTTTAATTAGTACCATTTAGCACAAAAGAGCCCCGTTTATTCTTCCACAGAACAAACCTCGCTCTAAAACACATGATTTTACTGACAGAAGAGTGGCTGTAGATCTCTTGATTAAAAAGGCCTGAGCTGATCAGTGACCATTAGACATGACTGAATCATCAATATGTGCAGGTTTAAGTATTTTCATTTGTACCCAAAAGCACAAGTGCCTGTGTTTTGGGTTCTCTTGACCAACACCGCTGGGGATTAAACATCAATTCTGCATTAACTTCAAAAGCAAAAGCAACATAAGCTCATACGCTCACAAAACATTATATATATTTATGTATATTTATGTATTAGCAATCACAATAAGAGAAGGCATATGTTCAAAAACAATCTACAGAAAGATAATTCAGTCATTAAAAACACTAAATTGCTGATACCTGAGTGTCTGTAGAAAGTCATGGTTGCTCTGGTCTGTTGGTCTATATGTAGAACGATACAGTAGCATCCAGAGAGGGTCAAAGCTGCAGACTATTTGGCGTAATATGGGCAGTGGTCTATATACCCTTCTGTGACCCGACCCTCACAACCCTCTGCTCCTTTTTAGGTTTCCCATAAGACATTAAAGTGCACAGGACGGGGGACTGTGTGGACTGATTTGTTGCATTAAGTCCACGTTGAATTCCGTTGCTATAACATCAGGAGTAAAAATACCAGAATGATAAAGCCACAGGGGAAAGCAGATACCCCCACCACCATCAAGTGAGAAATATTGTTCTGATCCTGTACAAATGACTACACTAGGCTGTTATCACTGGATCAAGTAGTCCGCTTCACGCTGCCTATCTACGCTGGTATGTATGTTTTGTATTCATTACAGAAACGATAGGCAGGTAATTCAGATTTAGAGGACGGAGTATATTGTTTCAGTGGTATAGCATATTTTTTCTACAGTTCTTTTTAAAATAATGATTTTGCCTTTTCTTTCAATAATAAGATGATAGACCATATAAAACCATCTGCAGACTTATAACAAACTGATGAGGCGTCTACTGTCTACAACTGCAAAGGGCATCTGGTTGTGATTAAGAGTTTGATTTAGTGCATACATTAGGTTTGTCCTGTTGTACTCTGTCACCCAATTATTGCAAACCCACGAGCTCTAAGTAATGACTGTAATGACCGGGTGGGCTGAGGCTGGCAAAGCTTTCCAGTAGATGGACTGCTCCAGGCTCTTTGTAAACAATCGGATGGGAAGATCTTTGTTTTACTGCAGTTTAATGTGCTTCTTAGATTACAAATAGATCTTAAATAGCAGCACAGTACTGTTTGTGTTTTATATTTGTAATTAAAGACGCACTGTGTAACTTTTCTGGTGGAAGGCACCACCACCTGCTCTTCTTTATTGAGAATATTTTACTGTAGGTGTCTGTGTAATCCTCCAGGTATCTGGGTAAATTATTACAAAATGTCTGTGTAATCCTTCAGTCATTCAGGTTATTGAAAAAGAAAATTCAATTCTGTCAACTGGACAAAAGTTTCAACAGTCGTCCAAGAGGCCTTGTCAGTTCTGAAGAAGATGAAATGAACAGAACTGAAGAAACCTCTAGGATGAATCTTCACTAAAACATTTGATGCTGACAAAATAACATTTTCTTTTACAATTTTACAGTAGAGCATTATACTGGCAATATATAAGATAATAATATATGCTATAGTCTGAATAATGAGAAATATGTACATAATATGTCTAATTTCAGTCTAATGTAAATTTCAATTGTGTCTGTTTCTTAAGCTTCTCATAATCATAGTTAAATGACTTTACAAAGCTGCCTATTTACAGTGTGTGATTGCCATGATACCATTGCATACAGCAGCTATGTAGAGACATAACAGAGGGCTATCACCTACTTCCTCTTTAGCTGCTATTGGAAACAGGATGTCTCTCAGTACTGCTAAAATAATAGAGCATATTAATCTGTGTAGGAACAAGCTGCCAGTCTGAGCCGTCCAAAGGAAAGGCTTGGACTGAACATGGAGATCTGTGGACAGAGATCTGGCACTTGACCACAGAGAGAGGGTGTGACAGCCAAGCCCAGAGCACAGGGCCCAAAAGGTCAGGACAGCAGCTCTGTCAACACTGTTACACTGCCCATTATTAAAGGGATTGGATTTTCTTGGGATCAGTGCTTTGTGCTAGTCTGTGGCCAAGATAATGATTCATATAGCTGTGCCAATATATTTATAGTGGCAAACTTCACAGATGAAAGTAAATTATTGGAACAACAATGCCACACAAGGCCTGAAAGGTGCATAAACTGTGCGGCTGCAAATTGAATCGCAATCAAAACAAAATCACAAAGTAGTACAAATAGACTGATTGGACTCAGTTGGCAAATTGAGAAGACCTGAGTTTTTGAAATATCATACTGTCCAGCACAAATAACAAATATGCTGTCTTATTCTGCATTAAACTGCTAACCCTGCGGTTTATATCTATACAAACATGTTCTGAAATGAGATCTTTTATTTGTTTGTCTGTTCATATTCCAGTCTTTTTATAAATTCAGCTGTGTTTAAAATGTGCACTTTGAACAGAATCCTATTATTAAAACAACAATCGCAAAGCTCTTCAGAAAAATCTCAATTACATATTTTTCCCAAATCACTTGTAAATAGGTTGTTACAAGTATGTGGATCAGAAGCCATTAAACATAAGTTTGAGTTAATACAGCTTTTAATATCTCTCTCCCCACTTGTATTATCAGGCTGCATTCCCTATTTAGGAGGCATTCACTGGGGCTCTGAAATCACATGTGTTTCTTCAACTCACTCATCTCTACCATTCCTCTCTTCCTTTTGTCGCCTCACTCCATTTAGGAAGATAAAAGACATGTTCAAACTGTCGGCTGGCACCAACACTCCCGGAGGATTTAGTGGTAAATCTCTCACTAAAATGACACATCACTAAATGTAGTTATAAAAAACTGCTTTCCCAAGACATACAAGTAATCTGATTAATTGCATTGTAAACACTACATGGATGGGTGGTAGTGATGTCATTGTTTGACTAGACAGTTGACCACAATCTCCAGGTTTCCATGGTGACCTCATGGTTTTAGTTTGGCCCTAGTCCATGCAGAAGGGAGGAGCTTGTGCACACAAGCAGATGTGTTTTGAAGGTGAACAAATGTAAAAGTGCTGTGTAAAAATGCTGTGAATCACACGCATAGTTCATAACAGGAAGATCAAGATTATTTGGTTCATTGACCATAATGATTATTCAAGTTACTGTATAATCATGAGAACTAAATAATTGTGATCATTTTATAAACACACTTGTATTTGACTGTTTATGTCACAATAGCTTTGTTTCAGAGTTTCAGAGCTACTAGAAGAGTGGTTGATGCTTTAAACAATGTCACTGTTGGCTCATAATCTCCATAACTGTGAACAATGATGTAATCATGATGATTTTGTTAACATTAAAAAAGTGAAGATTAAAAAACTTTCTAATCAGAATTCACCATTTCATCATGTACCAGTACCAGTAAGAGGATTGTTATACATTTTTTGGGCTGAACTAGGGCACATAAAAAGTATAACTATCCTCTTACTATGTTGTCATGTCCTCTCAGAGGAGATCTCCAGTTTCTGTTCTGCACCTGAAGGGTGCTTTTATTTGAGAGTGACATCAACTGCATGAAGTAATCTTATGCTGGCGGGATCACAGTGTTTATAACTAGGTCTACTTTGCAAAAACAAACAAACAAAAAAGAAAAAATGCGAGACTTACATAATAACATACAACTCATTATTAGCAAGGATGTGGCTACAAAGATAAAGTAATATATTCTCTCATCTAAATGTAGCAGACTGTGTTCAGTTCATCTTTACTGGCAGGCTATATTTGTCTCCCTCGGTCAAAATAATCGTTTCTTGTTTTTTTTGTTTTGTTTTGTTTTTCATCAAAACATCTATAATCATATAAAATGGCCTATATACAATGCCATACTGTAGCCTACTGAACATTACAGGCAAAGCAAAAAAGTAGGTGGCGCACCCTCCACCAGAAAAGTTGCCTTAAGTTATGGCTAAATGTGAATGCCATTACATTGTTTCAAGTGATTTTGTCTTTATTCCATACTAATCTATGCAGAAACTGAGAATGTTTAAAATGCATATGAAGTAATAAAGCTTATCCAAGATTATATAAAAGTGGTCAAAACATGTCCAAAACTATTTGCAAATCAAATCTAAAACGCATATTTAAACATTCAGTCTGTCAGGATACCGTACTTGGACTCACCTCTTGGAGCAGATGAGCGTCTGTCTGTGCGCACTGTCACGTCTCCTCCCTGTAGTTTTGAGGTGCGCGCTGTTGTGGCTGCTCTGCTTTAAAAGACACAGCGAGAGGAGAGGGAGAAAACTTCTGGACCAAGCCAAACCTCTTTAAGACCTCATAAACAATTACCTCAACCAGGAATTTATAAGCAATCAAAAAAGACTTCTCTCCGCACCCGGGGCGATTGAGAAACTAAGGACAAATAGGAAACTATAAAACATGGTGTAAGATCGCCATTCGTCTCCTTGTTTGGTAAAAAACTAAATCGCACCTAGATGAGTCATGATGAGCAAATGCGCTACAATATGAAGCTGCCTACCATCACATTAACTCACAAATAGTGGGACCTCCTAGGTTTTTTTAAATCCTGGAAACTATCTAACCTATCTAATTAGACGCACTATTTGATATGTTGGTACATTCACGCACCTACGTCAATACTTATGGATTCTGAATGCATGTTTGAATAGACAAAAAGTAGCCTACTATGACATTTGAATATGTTAAAGCACCACTACACTACTGTTCTTCAGGTGAGTAAACAGGAAGGGGGTCCCAGGCCAAGGGTCTGAGAGGTGCAGAATCGAGCATCGTAAAGGGAATAATCCTTATAAAATTAAGATGGGACCTAGTCTAATACTAGGGCAATCATCTGTCCCTCTTTTAGTTGTGCCTCAGGTCCCTGTCCCACTTTTTCATTGATGCCACTTGAATTGTATAAAAACATTTACCTTGAAAACATTTGTCAGATTGTTATTTATTATTATATTATTAATGCTTTTGGTTGTAATATGTTGGCTCCTATTTCTATTCAAATTTCTTTGTGTGTATACAAAAGAGGAGGCAGTTCCAGTGCAGGTTTAATCAAAAGCACAGGCTTCTGTTTATTGACTGCTGCACACACACAAACGTGAGTAAATATGTACACATATGTAAACAGTCACAACCGGTGACACAGAGGGGACACAGCACAAGCCCCTCCTTCTCTCACACAGATACTTGAGCATGGACTCACTCACATACAGAGATAACTGCAGTACAGGTATACTGTCTGAAACACCAAGCACGGCAGGCCTCTTTGGTCAGCTACTTCAGACGAATGTTAGCAAATATAAATATGTGGTGGAAAACTGTGCACACAACTGTACTTGAATTACTTTGAATTATACATTTATAAAGAAAAAAGAACAGATGAGGCTACAGCCCTGCCTTGTTCACTGGGACAAAAGCATTTACACAGCCTTTAAGCAAGCATAATACACTCAAATTTCCTTAAATGTAATTATGGCTTCATGAAACACTGATCATTTAGAAGGTAACTTAATGCAAAGGAGTGAGAGTATGTTTTATACACATCTTTCCAAAAAACA